GGAATTTTGTTTCCTTGCTATACTTCTCTAGCGTCCGTTATGCTCTTTCGCTCTTTACACACGCTGCTACGTACGTTGCTTTCCGTGTTGCTGGTGTCACGGGTGCCACGGTTAGTCCTGTTCACATTAAGAACAAGTAGTCAAGGAGGGCTCAGGAACGTCCGGAAGAGACAAAGTGTGACTGTTACTGTTTTTTTTTCTCTTGTTCTTTATGCCCTTTTTCACCCGGTGCGGGACTGGTATTAAATCCGTTGGATTTACGGTGTCACTGCTTAGGCGTCGTTTCCTCCATGTCTGCAGACAGAGAGATAGCACGAGTCTCGAGGATTTCTCAGGTAATTTTTGTACGTACTATTTATTTCTTCATCTTTCAATTTCTGTTTTATCGAAATTCTTCTTTCATCGTTATTCAATTTCACGATGGGACAACGCAAAGTCCTTCCATTGTTTTCTCTGTCAACATCCATTGTCCAGTGACCCGTTTCCGGTGCCTGGATATTTTTATCAGGAACCACTTAACCTCGTTACGATTTATCGAAGTTTCATAACTTTTCTACGATCCACGCCACAGTCCCTCAGGGGTATCCTGAAGATTTAACGAGTTCAATCCTGGATCTAGGGAGCCTGTGAAGTGGTACAATCTAGTGGCTAGAATCCAGCGCCATCATCCCGTAGTCTCTTGCTATACATGATTGGTTCGGATCTCCTAAGGGTGCGCGATATAATCCACGGTTATACGAAATTCGTCAGTGGTAGAGAAAAAGTTTATAAGAAAAAGACTCTCAGCCTCTAAACATGATCCAGTTTGCTCTCCCCGGATTTTCGCTGGTAGAAATCAGCAGACCACTTATAAGCGACTGTAGCTCCAGGAAGTCTCATTTGGTTGCGTCACTATCGCGAACTTGATAGTTCCAAAAATAGAATAATTTACGATTACTCAGCGGCCATCTAACGCACGGTTCTAATATCGAAACTCCAGCACGTGTTCCATCGAGATAAAAATTGGACCCCCTAGAAACAACGTACTCTCAGTCTCTACTTCTTGTATTCAATGTCTGAACACTTTAAAACGATCGCACTGACTTTAACGAGCGAACGGCTTTCACCGACCAATAAGGTACGTGACAGCAGCGTCATCGTAAATTCCGTTATTAACCTGTACGTACAGGCACGCTCAATGAAAGAGACAAGACTCCTCGTGAAGAATTATCTTCGTACAATTAATATTAGTTATTCACCATTAGAACGTATATAAAATATCTACCAATCTTTAATTCGTCGGATCTTTTTTCACGAGTAATTGTACATACCTAACCTTCAGAACCGTGGAAGTTCAAGTTTTTATAGCGATCACAGGGAACACTAAAATATTCGGATTTTATCTAATAGTGATAATATAGAGTCTGTTTTTCGTCCGAATCGTATTTTCCCTCCTGCGTACCCCGGCGACGCGGAGGCTCGTCCTGTTCTTGGAAATCGAGCAACCGCGGCCATTATTATGTCTAGAATCACGGAGTGCCTCGTTCCTCTAGGATATAAACACGGGAGTGGGATCTTAAATATTCTAACGTCTTTTTCTTACGTACAAGTAGATTTCGTCCTAAGACTGTAATTTACGAATTTTTATCCTGATCCTGTGTGTGACTTGCTTCGTAATTTTTCATTATTATCAAACTTTGGGGAGTAATGCGACTGTGTACACTGGCACCTTTATTGCTGCTCAAAAGAGCAAGTTAAAGCTTAAAGGACTCCTTCGGCACTGGTCGATATCGACAAGTGAACGATTAAGTCGAGACGGCTTAGATTCTTTATTAGCGCTTTAGTAATGTCGCTTGTGAAGGGCAGAGAGGAAAAAAATGCTGATTTACCCAATTTCGAGACATCAGTCGTCGAACGTGCTCGTATAATCTCAAGGCCGTATAAATTTAAAAGCTGGAAAATATCGATGGGAACCAGTTTGAAATTTTCGTCGAGTCCTTCCTAGAATTTCCAACGAAATTTATTCCCATTAACATGATATATCTCTGACCGTTAGAGATACAGACAAGCCAATTTAATCGGGGCTGGATATTCTCATTTAATTCGAAAATATTTCAATGTCCGCGCCATTAGACAGAGAGACGAAAATTCCTTTCGACTACGTAGTTAAGGCTATTTCATTTTGTCAGGAGTAGAGTATGCTGCCATCTTGTATTTACTACTTGGATAGCCGACGGATGCTTGGATTAAGAATATTGCCGAATGGCCATCGTACGGGAAAACATTTTTAAAACCGTTTTACGATGCACTGTTCAATTTTATCGCGATTCCGACGAGAAACGGAGACGTTGCCCAGCGAGCTGTTACCCGTCGGCTATTAATCATCCATTTCGCGAAGTGGGTGCTGTTTCTGCTTCTGAAGCTGCTTTCTAATATCGGAGGCTCTGGCACACGTTACCGAAGGACGAGACCACTTCGGAATTAGCCGTCATTTTTGCCTGTGGGCAGTGAAAGGTATTACAGAGTAAGAGAGTAAGAGTATTTGAAGAATTGAGTGGAGTAGAGGGAGTGAGAGCTATAAAAAAGTCTCATAACCAAACCTTGGTTCTTATCATTTTTCAAAACCACCAATTTCGTACCTCCACACTCAAATACTATATAGTCAGTCCTGTAAGAAGAGGTTGAGCACCAGCAGAGCAAAAGTTTCATCTATTTCCGTAATCCCATCAATGAATTCTTTTACTTTCAACAAACATCCCCGTAGAAGAGGATGCTTTCGGGTCAGGGTGAGGATAGAAGTAGCTGACGAGAAATAAGCAAGCGAGCTTCGCGAAGAGGAACGAAGGAAGTTGATACGTGAGAAAGAATGTAGAAAGAGTATGGAATGGAGAGAGAGAAAAAAAAGAACGGACATTGAAACGAAATACGAGATGCCATGGATTCACGAAGTAAAATGGCCACCACCCAGGGATATTGCATCGATCCGGTAATCCTTAACGTTCTTCCATCCTTATATCCATCTCGTCATCAGTAATATCACTACAGACTTTTCTTCTATTCGAGTTATTTCCCGTAGTGCCTTATTCTGTAGGAGCTTCTCCTCGAGCCAAGTGCCAAACTCGGGGCCAGTAATACAGGAGCAATGGAGAATGAGAAATACTTATTCCGACGTGGTATTTTCATTCGAGCACATCCAATGTATATAGTTGCATACATATATATAAACTGCACCAGGACGGTCTAAGAGATAAGTTAGGCGAGGCGCAAAAGAGAAGAGGGGCGGCCCCTCCTTCTTCAAGACTAGGAGCGCGCGGCGCGGAGAGGTTAGGAAGCTTTTGGAATACAAGCACGGAATTATGCACGTCGCCAGGCGCTTTATCCTCGTACGTTTTGCTGAAATGCTGCGACGCAACTTGTGGCCCCCAGTGGGAAAACTCGACTGACGTATTGTGTACGCGACTGGACGGCTAAATAAGTCGTACGATACAGTCAGTCGTTAGTTAGTGTCGGTAATGCTACGACGGCGTCGTACGTAACCTACGTAACGAAGACCCCGAAGGAAGGAAAGAGGCGAACGTGCAGACGCAACGGACAAACACGTTATCTTCGCTGTCGGTGATCAAGGAGTCTTACCGGGCAATAACGACAATAGAAACCTGGCACGGATCATCCTTGTTGCGATACAAAGGATCATGCGACGTCCCAGAAGGCCCTCGGATGTCCCAAAGTGCATTGGGTTTGTGTTAGGATTTAATTTATATTTTTCTCTCCCCTTTTTTTCCTTTCTTTTATCGAAATAGAAGAAACATCGATTCTAAGAAGTCGTTACGCGTCCACTACGAAATTTGGTCGGGCTCTATAATGGTGCTTTGGTTAAATTTAGAATAAAAAGTATACAATGCAGGTAGTAAGGCGATAACGTTCTTTACTTTTGCTTTACGCTTACGTCGCTCTACGCGGGCAGCCTTCCAATAATGTCTGCCTCGCCGAATACTTGTCTGGCATCGTTATAATTAAGCGATCGACATCAATCGATAGCAATCGTCGATGTCGACTGTTAAAAAGAGAGAACAAATTATTCTTGTTACCTTGGTTGACTGTTTTTCTTCTCTTTCTTTCTTCACTTACCTTCTCTCCTGACTTCTTTCTCTATTTATCTCTAGGTCGGCCGATTACCTTCTCCTCGCCACTCCCCTCCCCAGGTGAATCGTAACTCGATCGACGATCGAGAAAAAAATATTATTCGCACCCACCTGTCTCTCTGGACGTTTTCATCTGACAGCTGGTTCACGGATACGTACGCCTCGCCAAGGGAAGAAAATGGGCGGGAAATTTGAAAATTTTAACGGAAGCGTCAAACGTATGGCGGATCGGAGTCATTCAGGATGGCTCAAGCTGGTAGACAGGAGAAGAAAAACTGACGTCGTTCAAACGACAATAACTGGTTATCTGTTTCAAGAGATTTGCTCTCTTCTGCTCTCATCTTTCTTCGAAGCGCAATTCTCCCTCTCTTTCTCTCTCTGCTTCTTCATACTGCAAAGCACTTGACCGCAATGCCAGTCAAGTGGCTGTGCCCAATTACTTGGCATTACTATACATTACGGCCTCTTGATGCTTGATAGATGTGTAGGACACTAAAGGCGACGTGTACCAGACTTTAAACGGCACCTTTCAGTGGTACCGTTTTTCCAAAGTCTATACTATTTTCCACGGTACACCCGGTATACCTGTATATCTTTTATGCAGAGGAAAAATAAAGCCTGTAAACTACCATCAGATTGACGTCTGTAGATATTTCCATATTTTTATTTATTATTATCAATATTAATACTGCATATCCTTGCATCACATCTTTTCCTCGTGTTCCTTTCTATAGTTTCCCATATCCTTAGGACCTTCTAGGAAGTAATTCAATTCGAATTCCGGTATTTTGTAAATTCAACGTATCCGCGACGTTAGACGCGACGCTGGTTACGAGGAGTAAAGTGCTAATAAGTATCCTTATGATTTCTTTGTTACAGCGTGAGGAGTGTCATGCACAAATATTTGGAGAAGAAGAACGAAGTGAATTTCGATAAAATATTCAATCAAATGCTAGGTAAGGATACGGAGTGATTTATTGGTATTTTTTGTTATTTTATTTATTTTTAACCTATATTTACTCCTTTTTTTTTTTTTTTTTTTTTTTTTTTTTTTTTTTTTTTTTCTTAATGTACCATCAATAACGCGTTACAAAGTTTTCCCGAGTTTTTCTCGACGTTTTGTCTCTCTTTTTTTTATTGACTCAATTTGGCTTTTTTCTGCTTCGCAGGGTACCTTTTATTTAAAGACTTCTGCGAGACTGTAGCGGAGGAACCAATTCCGCAACTTAGGTTTTACGAAGAGGTTCGTAAACTTCAACGTACTACTCGTACCGCTGCACCGCTCCTTATACACTTGATCCCTACGTCCCTTTGCTCTTACCGAAAGGAAACTTCTCTATAAAGAATAAGTCGCTAACGTCCTTACTTTTCCTTTATTATATCCGCTCGTAGATCAAGGCGTACGAGAAGCTGGAATGTCCTGAGGAGAGGAGAAAGCTCGCTCGTGAAATATATGACAATTTCATCATGAAAGAATTACTGGCGCATGCGCACGTGAGTCCTTTGAATTTATTTTGGAATTTTTCACTTTGTCACTTTGTCAATTGAAACGTGTATCGCGTACAGCTGTAGACCAGCCCATAGCTGACTTTCTGCTTGTTTTACAGGAATACTCCAAAGATGCTGTAGCACATGTACAGAAATATCTAATGAAGAACGAGGTTCCTGTTAATTTATTCGAGGTTGGTACTAGATTTTCGAATAGATTTTAGTTTAATTTTACATTTTTTCCTTTATTTCTCAATACCGATGTTTCTTGTTCAATAATTTTACCGTAACTATTGCAGCCGTACATCGAGGAGATCTTCAATCATCTGCGAGGGGAGCCTTTCAAAAAGTTCCTGGAGAGGTAAGCCTTGTGCGAGTTATCGATGAAAAAAAAAAAACGAAATTATTACACGAGCCTTTTATAAAAAGCGCTTCGATCTGAAAATTTACTTCGCGTATTTCACTCTCGAGTTCACTGGACTAACGTGAAACCTTTCAGCGACAAGTACACTCGTTTCTGCCAATGGAAGAATCTCGAGCTGAACATACAGGTACGAAAATCATGAAAAAATCATCACTTACAACACGTATCTGCATGCGCCTAGAGAATCAGAAGGGAAGCACGATTATATACGATGCCGAACTGCGTCGAGCTGAGAAAAATGTTAACGGTACCTTGGGATATATCTATATATCACGTACGATAAGGTTTAAGCGTGATTTCACGTACAAGGGTTGGGGAATGTGTTTTACAAGCGTTCACAACGCCACCTATGAATGAATCTTTGTCTGTACACAACTGGCTTGAATTAACCTCAAATTCTCTAGATACTTATGTAGATCATAAAGTAATTTTTAGGTTAGATTCTCCTTCATTGAGATCCAAGTTAACCAGAGGCCTATAGATTTGAGTGCGTTTAAAAAAAAAATCTTATTAAAGACCCGACCTAGAACATTCATTTTGAATATGATTATGGTACTCGTTGATTGATATAACTATAAGCAAATCCTGGACACTCGACCCCTAGCATCCTGATGAACTTGTGTTTCAGTTGACGATGAACGACTTCAGCGTGCATCGAATAATCGGTAGGGGTGGCTTCGGTGAGGTCTACGGGTGCCGGAAGGCCGACACCGGAAAGATGTACGCGATGAAGTGCCTCGACAAGAAGCGTATAAAGATGAAGCAGGGTGAGACGCTGGCACTGAACGAAAGGATAATGCTCTCGTTAGTCAGTACAGGGGTGAGTGTAGGATAGGAGTGTTATACATTGATTGACAATTCCGTTCTCTTTATCTTGATCAATGGTATATAGGTGTCTGTCAATTGACTGAGGATACGTTAATCCAATTGCTACAGGTCGACTGCCCCTTCATAGTGTGCATGACCTACGCCTTCCATACGCCTGACAAACTCTGCTTCATCCTGGACCTCATGAACGGCGGAGACCTTCACTATCATCTCAGCCAGCACGGTGTCTTCAACGAACCGGAAATGAAGTTTTACGCAGCCGAGGTGATCCTCGGCTTGGAGCACATGCATCGTAGGTATATCGTTTACCGGGACCTCAAGCCAGCCAATATACTCCTTGACGAACATGGTCATGTCAGAATATCTGATCTTGGACTGGCCTGCGACTTCTCCAAGAAGAAACCCCACGCGAGCGTGTGAGTAGCTCAGTTAACGGCTTTGTATATTTTTTCATGCTCGGAAATGAGACCTGGCCAGCATCTGTCCTGCTGGGAATCTTTAATGAGGGTTAATTTAATTTTTCTTCGCAGTGGTACTCACGGCTACATGGCCCCGGAAGTCCTTTCTAAGGGTACGGCGTACGATTCAAGCGCGGACTGGTTCTCCTTTGGATGTATGCTCTACAAGCTCTTGAAAGGTCACAGTCCCTTCAGACAGCACAAAACTAAGGACAAACACGAGATAGATCGTATGACGCTCACCATGGTTGGTGTAAATATATTTGATTTAGATTTTTCTTTTATTATTCTTGCTCTTTTCTCTTGTTATATCTCAGTCTCTCTTACGTCTTTACGTACGTTTTGTAATGTTCTCCAAACTTTTCTTTTATAAAGTTTTATCTGTATCTCTTGTTGTGTCTACGCACAGTGCGGAGATTCCATCTGGGATGACTCTTAGGCTGCTGTTTATCCTTCTGGAAACAGACGCGGCTCTTTGTACGCTTTTTCGTTTGGCTCGCAATTATCTTTGTAATCTGTATACTAAAATTTAATCTCTTTTCAATCTCATAAGCGCAGCTATCTGCTGCGTGACGCTTATTGAAATTTACTCGCGATTGTTCTTTTCTAACCTAACATTGGTGTGATGTGGCGCTTGCGCTTTCTGTAATACGTATGATCTTTGTGTACTTAAACTCGAAACGACCTGTTCTAGAATGTTGAGTTACCAGAGACTTTCTCACGGGAGTTGCGGTCGCTTTTGGAAGGTTTGCTACAACGAGATATCAACAACAGGCTCGGGTGCCGGGGAGGTGGGGCTGACGAGCTAAAAGAGCACCCATTTTTCAGTGGTATCGATTGGCAGCAGGTTTACCTTCAAAAGTACACACCGCCGCTTATACCGCCACGCGGGGAAGTCAATGCCGCGGATGCTTTCGACATCGGCTCCTTCGACGAGGAGGACACCAAGGGTATCAAGTTGACGGATGCCGATCAGGATCTGTATAAAAATTTTCCTCTAGTCATCTCGGAAAGATGGCAGGCCGAAGTGGCGGAAACGGTGTTCGAGACAATCAATAATGAAGCGGACAAGGTGAGCGGTTCTTTTAATGCTTTGGATAACTTTTAAAAAAGAAATTAACAATCAGGTATTTATCGATCATTCGTTGTTTTCCTTTGCGCAGGTGGAAAACAAGAGGAAGGCCAAACAGAAACTGCGATTCGATGCCGATGAAAAAGGTAATTTGGAACATTGAGGTAGATATTCGTATGTCCAAGAGTGTAAATTTGGTATTGTAACTTTAACTGTATTTTAGGATCGGATTGTATTTTACACGGGTACATCAAGAAGTTGGGCGGTCCGTTCGCAAGTGCGTGGCAGACGCGCTACGCGAAATTATATCCAAACAGACTAGAACTTTATCCTGAGTCCACTACTAAGCCAGAACTCGTCTTCCTGGACCAGGTAAAGCGTATGAACAATAATCTAAAACTTGATACCACTAGATACGAGGACTTTTATTTCAATTGTCAAAAAATTTATTCAGGTAGAGGAAGTCGGAGCGGATCTTCAGCACGTTAAAAGCGAACAGTGCATCGTTGTTCGCACGCGAGACGCCAAAATTGTACTCACCAACCCAGTGAGTAAAATCTCCATTAATAAAATCTCTCGATTGTCTCGAAAATTCGTCACCACTGACTGATCCTAACGCTATTTTTATAACGCAGGACGAAATAGGTCTAAAAGAATGGGCATTGTCGTTAAGATCGGCGCACAAGTGCTCGATGGAGATGCTTGGGAACATGGCAAGAAAGGCTGGAAAGATTTACGGGACTGAACGTGACCCAGTGATTCCGCCGATGCAGCGATCAACGAACGGGAACTAGCCCCTTGCCAAAGTCGATAGGTCGTCGTACTCCAGGCCCACTGCCCCGCAGCAGCATCATCGGCATCAATAACAGGAACAACAACAACGTTTTTTTATACTACTAAGAGATAGAGAAGCGAGCGACGCCCAGCGGTACTGAGATAGCGTGGGCCTCTTCCCTAGACTCGCTCGTTTGACGATCACTCAACCCTTTCTGCCCTTTGACCCCCCCGACAATTCTCTAGCCCTGCCCTCCTCAACGAAACACCCTGGATTCCTTGACAGAGGAATGAGTCCGAAGAGCATGAACAAAGGGATAATAAGATTGGAAGACACAAGAACCGCAGACTGAACGAGAAGAAAAAGAGTACGAATGTAAGGATGGAGGTGGATTGATGCCGAGGATGGTTATTTGGAAGGTGAAGGAAGGGTAAGGGATCATCCCCCTTGTACGGCGGGTAGCGCCGCGCTGTATAGAGACTCTAGCGAGTAGCGTCGTCGCACCTTAGTCCCCGGAGACGCTCTACACCTAATCCGGGCACCCGGGACGAAACACGGATGCGTAGCGTCACGTCGTTATATTTGTACGTTAACTGTATGTGGAGAGTGGCGTTAGCGATTAGCGACCGAGCCACGGACACACCGGTAGTGTATTATTCATTAATATTACTACTTGCAGAATTATCATTCACCCTGATAAGATATTTCCGACAAACAACAGATAAAGATTCGTCCCCTCACTCCACCCCAACCACGTCCTTTATTCTCTTGCATCTATTCGCATCCTATTACTTGTTTACTTAATTTATTTACTAGTTATCAGCCGTTTTTTTTTTTATTGTCGCCAATTATACGGATACTCCGATACATCCTTAGGACCTGTCTCCCTTTCATGTACAATGGTTGCATTCAGACCTCCTTCTGCATGTGGACAGATACACAACGTTATACACAGAGAGTCACAAACTAGAGAATCCCTTTACGATGATAACAATACGAAATCGATTTTATTTATTATGTTATTATTGTATCAGCGATGAGAAACGAAAGAAAAACGGTCGTTTGTATATTGACAGGAAAAAATTGAATATTGTTATAACTGTGTACGTCCGGGCAGACACGCGCAGTCCGCTCCGGCAATAAAATGTGCGATGAACGCAGCGGAACTTCTTTAATGGTTTTCGACGCTCTTTATTATTATCTTTAATTCTTTTTATTCTTTTAATTTCATGCCCTCAACGATCACGAATCTCACGAAGCAACGAGGCTAACTTCTGGTCGATCCCTCCGGAGCAAAGTCTTCTTTCCAAACCCTCAAAGTCCGCCCTCTCGATCCACGTCGGAGGATCAACGTCCACTGGCGGAAGTGGACACAGTAATCGTTCGACGACTGCACAGACGCCGCACCACAGCCGAAAATTCATTGGCTTCTCGATCTCCCCTATGAGATCCTTAAATCTTACTTCCTGTTCCGGCGTCAATGGCTTTCCTGTCACTTCCTCCATGGCTGACCAGACATCCTTAGGCTGAATGTACCTAACACCCTCGAGGGTCTCCTCGTAGTACCTGTTGAACGCTCTGCCGAATATGAGCTTCCGTCCTGCTGTCATGAACACGTGTTTCCCCAAGTACTCCAGGGGACTTAGACCTGGAATGATCATTGGTCAGTACTCCTGGACTTTTATTTACTATCTTGTCTTACAATTTTTATGATTCCACTACCTGACAGGCTCAGACTATCCAGCACCTCGAAACGAGCACTTTGTCTAGAGAAGACACGTGGTACGCTTTGCGATGGTGGTTGTGCAGAAGACTGACGACTTCCTCTTGTACCTGGATGCGGATCTCCCTTCATCCGCAGAGCCTCCTCCAAGGCGATTTTTCTCTAGGATAATTAGACTGTGTCAGAGATTGTGACGAATCCAAGGTACTAGGCTTTATTGTTTCAAATTTAATTACCTTTATTGAAAATTCACTTTCCACAGCCTCCCGGTCCAGTTCACGACTCAAGTGTCTCAGAATGTCGGAATCGATGAAACTCGACGGCAAATTTTGATCCAGCGATGATGTTATTTTCTGAGGCGGCGACTCTGCTCCTCCGACGTCGCCAAGGGATGGTCTAGCTCTGAAAATATTTCAAAAATTCATTTATATGAATTTCTAATAGATCCACTGTGAGCTTGCATTATGGAAAACTAACGAATCGCGTCTAGAACCGCCGCCTATTTGGGACACTTGAGTTTCCAATGGTTCAGGTGGATCGCGCACTTCCGTTTGCTGTCCGTAGGTCGAGCCTCTGCGACATTTTCTTTTACGCAATCGTTTCCCTCTGCGTCTCATCGGCGGCTCGTCACTCGCGCTGTCACGTTCTGCTGGAGAATTTTTTATGGAGGTCTAAAAAAAGAAACGGGTATACCTTCAACGAGTGCGAATACTGTAAGATAATAAAGGACCACGTTAGACGTACTTTAAGTAGGGACTTGACGGACCTCATCACTTAAAAGAACTAGACACCGGACAGTGCTGATTTTTTGATATAAATGCTACTATGGTTACAAAATTTGTATAGTAACAATTTTTAAAACAGATAAGCACCCTTATCGTACCGTGTCACTGACTTCCACGTGTGGCAACAGACGATCTGGCGACACTGGCGACATGGCTGAGGAACTCTGATGATGCGGGGTTGGCTTAGATACTGATATCTCATTCTTTCTAGTGGCAGGTGCTGGTTCCAAAGTAAGTGCATGCCAGCTCAGGGTGTCGGTCTCCTGTAAAAACGTATCGTTTGAAAAACCCCTGGGTAGTTTTACCTTTGTGAAATATGCAGGGACGCAACAGAAGGTAACAGCAATCCAATTTTAGATTACATAAATATTTCAAACTGTTAAATTTTCCTGTACAGCTTCCAGGGGTACGACTTCAGTTCAGAGAAGACATAAGTTGGTTCGTTAATAATGAATTTGAGTGGCTATCCGCAAAATGTGAACGATACATTTCTCGCAAGTATCCTTGAGCTAAATTTCCCAGAGACAGTGCCCTTCTCTAGGGTGTAATTGAAATGAATAACCTGATCCTGCGAGTTGGTTCTGAGGTCCAATACAAGAGTGGTTCGCTCCCGAGGGTTACAGGTCGCAGGAGTTTCCGGAGTGGGTCTACACGTGAGTGCTGGACCACTAGCAAGAGTAGGAGCTGGGGTCAGAGGTCGTGAGTCCGTTTCAGTATATTTGCGAAACAATTCCTCAGGGACGGCCGTTGCCTCGGTTCCACCAGCTACGTTCCCTGGTCCTCCTGTACCAGCAGCGTCGACACCACCAGCACCGGCCAACAGCGTCGCACGGATCATCTCCATTTCCGCAGGTAGTAGCAACGCCTTTCCCTCTGTAGCCTAAATATTTAATCAGTGTCTAACGAGAGCCAATCTTCTCAGGAGACTCTGAACTCTCCAGGTTCCTTAGAATGTATAATAGTTTCATTACCCAGGTATCCTTCGCACGTCGCACCACCTCCTTGGCTTCGCAATCTGCTGGATGATTACACAGCACCGAGCAGCCATAAGGATAAGGGTTAAAGAGTCCAGCAAAGGGTCGTAGAGTAAAGGGTGCCGGTCTAGCTGACCCAGAGAGTTCGATCCTCTGAAAACGATGAGAAGGTTAACAGGAAAAGTGGATAATTATAAAGTAAACAATAATTATTATTTACGTCTTATCACGATAATATATTTCTAATTACTTAAAACTCTATATTTTAATTAACAGTTTATTCATAATTAATATACCTTTGGCTTCGGCCTATAGACTGGTCGAACTCGCGCGGCAATGAGCCCAGTGGCGCTGGCGTTTCCCGGCATTCTCCCATCGCAGTCAACTATCGACTGAATTATTATTCCAGCGACTATCGCCAGGTATATCAAGTTAAGGAGAAGATGGACACCTTCGTGGGGTCGTTCTCCACGGCTGTCAGTGGGCAAATAGCGTCTTAACAGGTTCCTTGCTTTCCCAAAGACGTTGCTACGGATCTGATGGGTCGATCGAGTGACGTGTACAGAACACGTGCGTGTCTCTTAGCTCACCAGTGTATTCGAGAAGCAAACTATAGCTTCATAGCTACTCGAGGAAAGACTGACAAGGAAGACTGTATATTGAGACACTGTTTAATTCACAGTCAATCGCAACCCTTTTGACATGCCATTCTGTTACAGTGTTCAATTGTTGCTCGAGGATCCAGGTTGCCGTGTCTGGGTATTGCGTGCTCTGCAGGGTGGTGCAAAGAGAATAACAGACAACGCCTACTTGTAGTACTTCTATTATCGTTTATTGATCAGATACACGAGACTGAAAATGGGTTAACCGGAATATTCGAAGAAACCTTCAAGGGAAGCTGGTCTTTTGTATGTGGCCACGATACTTTTTCTTGTATGTGAGACCAGTAACGAGAGTGGAACTCTTTGGAAAAGCAGTTTTCCCACCAAACATTGTGTCAGTTTCTGAAATTAAAATAGTCATAATTATATTTTGAATTTTTCAAAGTATTCTTGATTGGTATTAATTTACTAACCAGGATGAAATCTATGATAATTCAGTTGAATGTGTAGATTCTTTGGCAATTTTACTCTGGCCAATGCTTCCAGAGGTGTTGTAGTGCTTACAGGTGTCTCGTAAAAATTCCTTAATTGCCCTGTGATAAATTATTCATTAGAACGATCAAACAATTATATGTAATTATGAGCATTCTACATAAGTTATAGAGGCAACCTACCAATAGTCTCAATGTCAACCAGCATTGAATTTGGCAAGGAGTGTTTGAATTCTTTCTCACAGGCGACGAAAAGTTTGAATCGCGACACGGGATCTTCAATCGTAGTGTTGTCATCAGTGGAGAAGCCTTCGACCTGGCAAACTTTGATAAATCGTTCGGAAACGTCAGCAGGTACCTCGTAGGGTTTTAATGGCCGTAAGAATCTGTAATATTGAAAGATAGAATTAAGTTTAGTTCAGAATTGATTGAAAATTTTCTTGTTCAAGTAATCAACAGACTTAAGGATTGGCTCAGCAGGCAGCTAAGTACCTGGGCTCAATGTTCTTGAAGATGTCTGAACTATCGAGCAAGTGAACCACGGTTATACAAGACAATGGAGGAATTATGTGTTTCAATTTGCATAGGGAAACGACTATGGAAAATCCCTTAAGCTTTATAGCGTTAAAAGCGTCATGGCAGAGGTGCTCAAAGCAATAGTCAAGGGTTCTCAGCAGATACAAAAAAAAAGAACTAAGAGACTGGTTAGTCAACAGGTACAAATGTACCAAACCCTGGTATCCTGACAAGTAAAGAAACCACAGACCTAAAGGAATCCTAGAAAAGACTTCGCTGGAGTCTCAAAGCATTTCTAGTCTAGAAACAAGGAAAAGATAATATGCAACGATCTATCACACAGCTGTGTAAAGAAACGGTGGGTCATAGCACCACGTCAAAAGGTAATTACCGAGTTCAGAGGTAGTGGTCGTAAACAGCGTAATATCATACACAGCGAATCGATAAGAGCTCGTCGACCTTATACAAATGAGAAGAAAAAAAGAAACGTAAATAAAATATTTAAACTATAAAGATCGAGTTTCAGATTGATAAGTATGTTTTTTTTTACAATTTTGTAAGTTCCCACAGTATCAAAATAATATTTGAGTAAATCCAAATCCTGTCTTGAGACTGGTGGTTATTATAAATTGAACAGACTGCGTAATAATCGAGCAATCTCTTTTTAATTACCAAAAAAAAAAAAACAGGCCGTTCGTTTACCCTTAAGAAAGCCGGAGGGTTAGTATCACGGTAAGGGTAGGTTAACTCTTGACGTGGTTCCAATCATACGGTCATGCCGTTTAAACGGCGTTAAACGGAGTCACGTAGGTGCCAGCAGGTCGCCGCCTTCTGGAACAAGGGTATACCCCATTGATTTTGTGCGCTTCCAATCAATATTCCCTCCTCGAGATTATCTCGGCACGGCTCGCGCCAAAGTTTTCGTACTACGCCGAAAAAGAGTACAGGGGTTGGTACGGAGTATCAGGTAGACGGTATGGGGAATCTGGAGATCGATGTCCAACAACGCCGTACGGTGCTGCCACCAATTCACATCTGGACAGTTACGGTTATTCGGCATTCCCGTATCTCAGGGTGAGTGGGCCCTCGGCACCGGAACTCGTAGTGTGTATAATATTTTCAGTAACCCTCCAGAAAAAGCCTATGGACATCCTGAAGATGTTATTCAGGAAATTCTAATTTATAAACAGATGACAAAACAGCAAATTGCGGTAAGACAGACAATCCTCAAAACGACTTGGCTGGTAGCTGAATAAACAAACATTAGAAAATGATAAAAATTTCTTCAAATCTCCAAAATTCTCTTGATATAATTCTCACTATGATAACATTTAAACATACGACTGGTAACCTTTATTATCTGCCAATACAATACAGTAAAGTATTGGAGAAGTTTCAAGCTAAGATCTTTTGCATAATTATTTATCAGAATGATAATAAGAACAAGCTGCATTAATGAGGAACGCGACCGAATACTTAAAATTTACTCAAATACGGCTTGTTCCCTTTACAGAGAATTAACATTGAACGAAGAGACCAGATTGAAGAATATAAAAAGATTATTTCAAGTACTGCCGATTGACTAGGTCGAACGTCACTACATGCTAAACAAGATTCCTCGAGATTATTGTTTACTCATCTACTATCTATCTTGAGCTTGGATTACTACAAGGGCAGGGATTGTATAAGTTGAATGGAATACCAAGGGGAAACGGTCCCCTGTGTTTTCTACGAAGAAACAGACGTTACTTAGAGTATGGTTATAAGGTAACAGTCAATAGGTAAGTACTGGCTTATAATACAGCTGGTTTATCGTACGTCTACCTCAAACGTGAATTTACACATGTTATATCTTTTCTTCTGCGAGTCACATTATTTCCTGCTGCCTACTACTCCCCACGGAGTACCTCCATTATCTACTATGGTGTTTGGACTCTATAATGTCGAGTGACTTTTCCGCATAACTCTTTACCGTACATAAGAATATCTTTACTTCAAGGGTAGGTGTGGTGAGCGCGTGGCGGCTGGAAAGTAGGGGTAAAAAGAGGACGTTTGCCGCAGTCCCGTCTCAACGAAGGGGTCCTTGGTGGTTACAAAAAGCAGAATAAAATGATAAACTTAATTTGAGATAGTTATGAAAATATACATTAATGATAAAGTTCGAACACGTGTAATAAGGAGGTCGAAGTACAAATAATTTGATAGTATAAGGCAGTGTCGCAAACTGCTTCGCGCACGCACTAAAAAACAACTAGATTGCATTAACATAGCTGGAAGTTGTTTCGTGATTGGCTACAGCAGTACACAGCTGATACCGAGATTGTTGAAACTTTCTATATGGCAAAGAGATAATATTGTTTATAAACAGCAGGGCCCAATGCTGACAAATATGTTGTAGTTATTCCCGAGTAGAGTCAACCGTGACAGTTCTTAGCTATGATGCAGATAGAAAATATATTCTCTAAAGTGTATAACGACAGTGGCTGTATGAGAATGGCAAACCAAGTTTAAAAAGTCTTGATGCGGTTCTACGTGAAGCTAAGAAACCTCCTTGTATAGCGGTATAAGAGAGCGTGAGGCGAATCCGTTACGTCAGAGGATGTCGGGCTGGTAATTTAGCAAGCGGCACCAGAAGCAGCAGTAGCAGCAGCAGCGAGTCTAGGAAAAAGGTAGTGTCAGGAAGGAAAGAATCAGTATGGAGAAAGGGGGCGTTGTACTACGTGGGGCACGAGGCACCTTAGCCAGGGTACCTTTGGCCGTCCCTGGAGCTGTCAAAGCTGTCGGCAGAGTAGGGGGAGGTCGGAAATAGCAATATGGCCGCAGTTTGTCCCCTGCTAGTTTACCAGCGGCGCGACGTAAAGTGAGTTTTGGCTGTTCGGCTAGTAGATACGGATCCGGTTATGAATTGACTGCTTACCCTCTTGCGGCAAGGGACTTGCTTGTATTCTCGAAGCTCTGCACTTTGACGGTCTTGCTCCAGTTGGTCTTGTAACGAAGGATATCTCGGCGTACAGTGGTGGACTGTAAGGTGATGAAGGTGGTGTCGTTACTCGGAATGATCGGGTACGCCCGAAAGTGCGTCTCTCTCGCGTATTATGTCCTCTAGAGGAGTGCTGTGCTTGATATCAAATAATAGTGAACTAACCGTGTACGTGGTGAGAATAGCCGGAGTATTTCGGACTGAATTCAGGAGAAAACCATGCCTCGTGAGCGCCGCCATCTTGTTGCTCTTCGAACGGAACTTCAGGAGTGAGGACTAGAGGGCGCATTGGCGATTGCGCTTGTGTTGTTTCCCATCATCCGCCATTTTACGGTCGCCATTGAAAGGTGAAAACCCTCCTAAATGTTCTCGAATAACAGCGGTCTCGCGGTGGAATTTCGGGCTTGATCGGCGCGCCTGGTGTTGCTAGTGATACGGTGTACGATGGAGAAGCCATGACGCACCCGTCGCATCAAACGAACGGCGCCAGCTTGGAGGACTGCCACACGAATTTCTTCGCTCTGGTGAGTGAGCCCGACTCCGACTCGGGAATGTCTTCTTCTAGACTAAAGGAAACCTCCCGTGGGAAAGTGGCTCGACACGAGCGTGATATGCCTCCTTTGACGATAAGGGAACCCTTTACGGTAACGTGCCAACACCCCTAACAGGATCGGAGTATATTCGTCATCATCCCCGTTACTCCGAGAAGAGTCCTTCATTCTCCGCGGGTGTTTGTGTATCGCTCGCTCACTCTCTCGCTGTTCTCTGGCCCACTCAGCCACTCTCTGTGTCTATATATACGCGTGTGCCTTAGTGGATTTGAAGTTTGTTGTGTGCCCAATGTCATGCCTGATTCACGTCACCCGTGGAGTTTCAATCGGAGAAGGTTGCAAGGACGGCAGCCGCCAATCCTAGGAATGCATACCGCGCACGCCACGCACCTTATATATTTTACCTCGCATACGCGCCAAATAAACTCGCTTCGTTCACGGGAACATGACCTAGGGAATCCTCACAGCATCTAGCCGCTGCTCCTCTACACAGTTCCATTACCGTTTCTACTCTACTCTCCATTCTGTCTCGCTATACTACGCGCTACAGTACTCTCGACACGTCCATCGTGCTATACTCCGCTCAATTCTGCATCTAATCTCTGTTTCCTCGTTCGCCGCGCCACGACCCTTCCCCTTTATTCTGTGCTCGTTCTCGGCGAGTACCTTTTGCGAAAAAGATCATGCAAGCGAGTTCCTCGTCATTCACGTCATGCTCGTCATCGTCTCCCTCTCTCGTAACATTCCTTTCGCCGGCAAGTTGCGAGGGAGTCGTCGTGCGGAAACTGTGTCAAGCCGGCTGTGCTCTCTGCCCGTTGCTTATGCTCTCTCGAAAAGTCTCTCTTTTGCCTATCCTGGTTACACTGTCTTAGCTTAGTTGCGCTTTCTGTATACAAAGGAACACACTGACCGACGAGCGACAGAGACAGACCTACCAAGACATAAGAAAGACCCCAAGCATTGACTGAATGAGGCGAGTCACTGAATGACCAAGTCAGTGCCGAATAAACCTCCGTAAGGATTCAAGTCAGAATCAGAAGAAGTTACGCCTAGGGATTTTTAGGCCACAATATATCCCACATATAAGAAGGCATACGATGACTGTAGATGCTCTCGCCAGTCTCCTCTTTCCTGGCTCTCGTTTCCTTTCTCTCCCAAACACGGCCCAAGTCAGCCACTTACGTTGCTCATCGTGTACAATGGAGTAATCTTTATCGACGTGACGTAAAAAAAAAAGGTAATGCAAGGAAACGGGTTTTTCCACATAAATTTCTCAATGAAAACATTCTCGTTGTCTCCAACGTACCAGTACCTCGCGCCATTTTTTTTTCCACAAGGAATTTACCTCGCAGGACTCACGTACACCTCCGACACACCGTGACCCTTTCTGCTCTTCTCTCGGATGGAATCGATATTTTCGTAGCGCGCTTAAATTCAAAGCGGCATTGCCGCCTTCTCCCTCTCGACCTCAACTCTCTGCTGCCCCCTCTCTCACTTCCTCACCATCTTCGATCTTACTCTCTCGCTCCCTATCAAACTATTTCAACGCTTTTCGAAATACCTCAAATCCTCCAAAAATCATTCTTGTCCCTTCTAGATTCCTAATCGGACCAAGTGAGCTTCTCTTGTTAGTCACTCATCCTATCCAGGCGCCTTTATCGCGTTATGCACGACCAGTCGTCATCGTAGCGCCAGCGGCATGAACTCGCGCGCGGTTAAATAATCGATAATCGATATCCCAGGAGAAACTAGTATCCCTCAACGTGTTAATTTTAACAGTTTGCAGTAACAGGAATAAATTTTGCCCTTGATACAACCATAGGCAAATATAAATAGGAAAAATATATATTACACGATTAGATAACAGTTGGGGTTTAACGCTGAATATTTTTATGCCGAAAAATTATAAAAGTAACTATATTCACTTGGCTGTCCGTTTGATTTCTGTCCGCTTTTTTGTGACTCTCGACGCGTCTGATATGTAAATTGACGTTTATGTAGATCGACGTAGATTTCTCGTTTCTTGAAAAATTCTTAATGGCGTTCTGGCTAATTGGTATAATTAATAACGATCGAGTGTCTTATCTAAGAGCTTCTTAATCAGACACGACTGTTGACTAGACACCGAGGGATCTCATTACGCTCATTATTATCGAAACGATTGAATTAGTCGCGCAATTAATTACAATTGGTAATGTTAAATTGACTTATTTTAGACATTTCAAACGCGTTTCTTGTCGATTCCTTCTTTTCTGTCGTCCTCGTATCCACCTAATTAGTAGAGAGCGTCCACGTGGTAAAAATATTTTCGGAAGCCTCCGATAAGCAATTCTTATCGGACAAAATCGCGCGCTACTTAACGCCACTCCGAATCAGCTCGGCCGAGTCACCTAGTAACGAGCGTTGAGAACGCGCCATTAATTTTCGCCACCTCTTCTAACCGCCATCCATCCACTCTCACGGCCGCCCCTTGTTAGTCCGATTTTCGCGAGGGACTAACCTCGTCCGTCGGCTAGTCAACCCTCCCGTGTTAAAACTGTCAGCGTTTACAGGGACTGTCGTCAGGAACATACAGGAACATGCATAGGCAGTTAACGAGTGTCTCATTCGATTGTTTACACGCTGCGATTAACTGCGATTCGATAAACAGAGAAGCACGAAGATTTAAACGTGAAACTGACCCGCCCGGTATATCCGAATACCACGACACCCCCCAGATACAGAAATTCACCCCCGTTAATACTGCCGTCAGTATTGAATTTTTTGTTGTGAGGGAAATTCGAACCAGTCATACCCGTACCCACACGCAGCCAACTTCAGACAACAGTTTTCCCTTGGTTACCACAGGTCCGTTAGTTCGCTCCGACTTTCACAGAAATACTTGAGAATCGAGATCGTACCCTATTTTAGTTTTATTCTATTTTTCCAAAGGCGTTCAATACGTGTACATATCACCATTCCATTCGATACAGTTTTTATTCGTCAAGCATTTTACATATACCGACAATGTATAACCTAAAAAATCGGCTTGTAAATAGTATCCGAGGTCTATTCTGCTTACGATTTCTTCGAACTCAACTTCATATAATACGAGGTTAGGTTGTAATACGCAGTCAGGTAGATACGTCGGTAGTAGAGGTTGATGCGTATTATATTCTCCTTTTAGTTGGTAGGAGTGTTTCAGGTATGTAACTATATCGGTGGCCGCGCGCGAGAAACGCGTATAGACACGTTAGTCCACGACGGAGACTCTTTCTTTCCTTGGCTCTTCTGTGCGCCGCCAGTCTGCCTTACCATAATCCCATACAAAGCCCAGCGCACGCCGGACGACACGGCCAACCGAGCCAAAGTCACTCGACTAGATTATACGCTGAAACTGGTGCTACGTGAGCGCAGACAAGCCCCGACGGTTCCATGTTGCCTGGCTGCCTGCCTGCTGCCAGGTGAAAGCCTTGCACTAAGGACGACGTTACGTTAACCGTACTCTCGGTTGGCTCATGCTAGAGCAGAACTCGGAGTCAGTGCGGCAAGGCGGCCTTCGTCTTCTTACATATTTTTTTTTATACCATAGGATATCCCGCTGCGCCTGGTAGACCCAGCTGGGACACCCTGGATTCCATAGCTACTCCCTCTGCCGTCGGCATCCTTCTCATTTCCACCTTTCTGGAATTTGTGATTTCTTAAGGATATTTTTAAAATTTCTTTTTTATCATTGCATCATCAAAATTCCTATCGTTGATTGTTTGTCAAAATTTTCAATTGTTTCGAGGATGACACCACGACCTTAAGCTACTGGGACTGCCTTATGGTCCTTTGGGGGGGTGACTGTTCCTTCGGCGGATTTCCTCCCTCTCCCTTCAGTTCCTCATGGACGTCTATCCCAAAGGCCAAGCGGAACGACGCGCGGTTACCACGCCTGCGTGTTAAACCTCAGGGCCGATTTCAATGGGTGCGTTCGCTTGGCGATTGCCGAGGATCAGGAGACGCGAGATTCGTTACTCTCTCAGTGAAATATCATCCCCTGATCTTCTACCTCTTTCAGTTGGCCCTGACGAAGTCAGGTAGCAGCCTGCGTCCATTATCCGAGGAGTCTCGTCCTAGCCAGAAATACTCAGCCCGAACTGCATTCGACCGTTTGCGATTCTATGCAAGAGCCACGAACCCAGAGAGACGAGAATAGAGCGACGTACCCGCGGAAAGAGATTGAAAAGCAAAAGCGTAGCGCAAAAATGGCGTGTCCTCATCGAGAATATACAGATTACTACCTTCGTACATTATACACCGCTATGTACCAGTAACCTCCTTGCGAGATTATTAGCTATTTAGAATTAATCAAAATGGCGACGTATCCTCAAACGGGCGCCACCTGAGATCACGTTTGTTTTGACTCTCAGCATAACGTAAGGCCGACCGAGAGAGCGCGCTGCTTCCTGGAAATAATATTGGCCGCAGTCCCACTGTTGCGTATCTTCCTGAGTCACAGCCGCGAGGGGAACTCCAGAGTTCCATGACCAGACACGAAAAATGCATCTGTACGGAAACGCTCGATTTGTAAACAAAATAGTAACCGGCGTACGCACTCCATATATATATATATATATATATATATATATATATATATATATATATATACATATACCGACTCAAATAACTAGCGACTCCCGCTGGCATTCCGTAGAGTCTGACGAAGTTCCTTCCGTGCACGAGCGACAAGCTCGTAGACCCAGGGTCTCCAAAGAGGAGTAAAGAGACACCGGCGACCCATCGATCGACCGATAAGGATATCGACAAGAACTAACCATGTCCCAGGGAATCGGCAACAATAACCGTTAGCTTCCTCCTGGAATCCTGGTGCTCGATCTTTCGTTCCTTAAGTGACGTCAACCACTGGCCGTCGGTAGGAGCAGCGTTGTCGTCACGTCCGTCCCAACGAAAATACAGTTTCACGAGCGAGAAACCAGAGGGTATATCGATCGCCGTTCAATACGCCGTGGCACCGAGACTTCCGAGTGAGCTGACCCAACCCCAGTTCTTCCTGCTGTTACCAGAGCCAAACACTTCCTTACGATATTACCCAGACGATCATCAGCATATCTTCAAAAAGTCAATGGGAGTCGAGATGCGCCCCTCCGGGTGTCAAGGACGAACAGCTGATTTACGGAGTCTACGGTAACGGCAGTCGAAGCATGTCGTATTTCTTTGTAACGATCAGAACGTAAACAAGCTGGAGTCTTATCGTGCGATATTCCTCGACCTTACTTCTCCGAGTGCTTGCCAGGGATTTCGATCGGCGTCGCGTGCTTCTATTTTTCTCTTTGTCACTCTCTCACTGTCCTGGCTGCGTGTATTCGTGGCCGATGATCATGCCGGAGACGGAGTGAGAGAGAAAGAAGATAATCAAGTGTTTGGCGCGCGCGTCAGGGAGAAACGCACGGGACGCTCGGGAAGAGGGAGAGGCGGCGCAGAGTCGGTTAGAGCAGTTGAGAGGTTCAACTGGAGGAATAGAGAGTTAGGAGAGAGAGAGTATATACGTGTAGTATCAGCACATAGCAGGAGCCTCTAGTGGGATAGGAGGTCCGCGTTGAACCCACGCGGGCGGCCTTGCACGTCGCCTTGCTTGTATTGATCAGGAGCAGCTTGACAGCCTCGTAGTACGGCGTGCGCCTTTGCCCGCTCTCGGGGTGGCCGTCTGTTCTTTGGTACGAGCGTCCCGACGGTCGCTCTGCATTTTAGCACGGACCCCGCGGGCCCGCCCGAACGAAGGAGGAAAGATTTGAAAAAGGAGGAAAGGAGGTAGACTGGTCGAGTCGAACGCGCAGACGCCCACAATGTATTTGGACCGGGTTGGCTATGGTCTTCTTCTTGCTTCTCTCTCTCTCTCTCTCTCTCTCTCCCTGTATCTTGTTACTTGCCTGCGAATACATAGGAATGCGACTACCGACTCCTGTACCACTTGGTATTATGCATTAAGGCGATGACGTCGACGTCAGTGCCGAACGAGTCCTCGAGGGGGCCTGACTGTGACGGCATGACGGAGTGCGAACGCGTGTAGAATTAACACGTGCACGTCCATGGGAACGAATGAAAGGACTAAGACTGGAAACGAAGGCGTAACAGGTGCTGTCGTTTCTCTGGATTGCGACTGGCTACGCAGCTCTCTCTCTCGGTAGAATCGTGATACCTGAATGTTTTAAATGTCAGGGCAGCCACTAGGAAATCTTCATCTGGGTAGTCTGAGAGGGGTTCATGTTCATGGAAAATATAAAAGATATATTTTTAGAATTCTTTGTCACAGGCTTGCCTATCGTATAGGTTTGTAAAGTCGATCGAAGGGGCGTTCCTGTGGCCTTGGCTATCTTACCTTTGGTACCCACAATGCACTTGTCAGGCGTCCATGATACGAATGCCCATCCACGTGCATGCCACGTGATGCATTTATCGCGACTACGAATCTTACTGGCTCTGTGATCCTTCCTCAACATGAGCTTGATCTTTATTTTTAATCTCGAGTCGCCCGAGATACGCGGATCGTTGGTATTGAATTTTATTTTTATCGTATACTCCACACTGTCTACGAACCCTTAAGTCAGGTTACGCCAGTGGGTTCCAATTGTGTCGGACTATCACCAATGAAATAATCAAGTCAGACTCGCCTCGTGAATTTCTTCACTTTGACTTTGATCGGCCTGGTGGAATCTTTAACTTGGTGTCTTGCCATGTGATGCGTATATATATATATATATATATATTTTTGATTATTTTCAAAACAGACGGACCTCTGCGGCATCAAATGGAGGAAACTCGTGTGGGGCGAGGTGGCCGGTGGCTTCGGGGGCACCCCCCTTGAAGATCCGGTACTGTCGAGTTTCTCACGGTGTCTCGCGGGTGACATTCTCTGCGTATGGCGGAGGGTGGCTGCCTCACCGCCCTCAGGAGGATCCGGGGCTACCGGTGGGGGCGGAGGTATCTTCGACCTGGGCATCGCACCCTCTCCGGCACCCCCGCCCCTCTCCCTCACCGCAGCCAAGGAACTTTGGATTTTCTGGTACGGCGAGGAACCTGATCTCTCCGGACTCGTCTCACCGGAACTTATCGCCTGCGGTAAGTCAGCACTTTGTTTTTTTCTTTTTTTCTTCGTTCCTCTTTCTCTCTGTCGCTTTACCTTCTTTTCTTTCATCTTCTTCAAAATAGATATATAGATCCAGCTCGTCCGAAAGAGTCAAAAAGATGTCAACGGAACGGTCCTCTTGGCTTGTCGATTTGGCTCTGATTTTTTTTCGCAGCGGAAACGCAGTGCGCCGCCCCCCCGCGTCTAGGCTGATACCCCGATGTCGATTAAGTAACGATCAGCTGATTGCGCGAGCGACGGCTTCTTTGTTTGGGATTGCCAATCGGTCGTCGGCCGATCTTCAAGTCGAGATCTCCCGGCGGGTTTTCTAACCCGGCTACGGATCTTGGCGATCAGTCGATCGATTAGCATCGGAGGTTACTAATCACTGGCCCAAGGGGATAATGGGGTTGTCCTGATTACCGATATCAACCCTGTCTCATCCTTCTTCCTTTTCCTTCTTCCCAGCACTCGGAAACTACCCGTACCATCAGAGAGGATCAAGGCGTATCGGCGAGCCGGTAACGTCGAGCGGACAGTACACACGGAGACCGTGTTCCAACATGGGGTCGCTGAACTACGCCGTTCCTCGTGCTGCTGCCTGGCTGCCTCTACGTATAGACCAGCCGTTGTTGTTCCGCGCCGACCGAACCAATTGCGGAACCAGCGACTAACCGTTAAATCTAAAACGCTAACTGTCTCTTCGTTCGAGGATACACCGTTGCCTTTAGAGAAAACAGGAGGCTCGCTTTGGTACCACGTGATCTTAGGTTTCGGTATCTTTGGCCCCGGCTATGCAATTAGAAACGGATCGAATGGGATTTTCGAGCGCTCGCTTGAAAAAAATCACGATAATTAGCGTTTGCGAAATATACGAGAATTACGCCACGTAGTTATTATTAGGAAATCCCATGAACCCGTGCGTGGCTCGAGTTTCCTTTTTAAATTTTGCGCTCGTCAGGTTTCACTCGTGCATTGTTTTTCGCTTCTATCGCGCGCCATGACAATTTCTCATCTTTGTATGAAAATCGATCGCCTCTCGGTCTGCACGATACCCCGTTGCCCCGTGCCATTCAGCTGATTCTGATGAATGACCCAGTAATGGCGATCGCGACTGCGTGCCTCGTAAACGTATCGGATCTTGAGGTTCGGAGCCCCACGATTTTCTATGGCCGCAGTGTGGATGATACAGACTGATTTTTACTTCGCGAGGGTCCTCAAGTTGCGCCGTAGGTAGGAGTCGACGTATCCACTGGTATTACAGCAGAACGTTGGGGCTCGGCTGGGCGCGTCGAGTCATATCTAGATAACACGATGTAAACAGAGTCACGAGTATTTGTCTGACGCTCTTGGTTTTCGAAGATTGCACGCCTGGGGAGTTAAATATTAAAGGACGAGTGCTCGAGTTAAGCGCGAATGATCGCGATAGTTGATTCACGTAGTTGCGTCCAGATGGCGCTGGCGTAGACTGTTTACAGTCAGCCAGCTCGGACGGAACGTGTCGGAAATTATTGGACAGCCGTCGAAAAGTAGATCGAAGCGCGTCAGCATGCTTGCTCAACGCCGCCGCGATCAGCTCGTACCGATCCTGTAGATTGTCGATTTCGCAATCTCTCAGTGTTTTGAGTAACGTTCCGTAGAGTCGATTGTCTTTTTTTTCTGCTCTCGTACTTTGACTTTTTATTCCACTCGGCAACACCGGTCGGTAACGTACGTAAAAATTGTGAAATTTCGTAACGCGCAGTTCGCTGTCTCCTTTGCTTTTCGTTTATCGATCGAGCGAAGAAACATGTGTCGCGCGGGGCCAATGGTCGCCGAACGAACCATCTACATGAGAACTGCCCTTCCGTTGCTCTCGACCCTAAATCCCCATCGTCCTTTATTCTCCCTGTCTCTGTCTCGCTTCCTCCTACGTCTCGTCTGTCCCGTCCCCGTAATTCGTGGCCACGTTCCGGCAGGGCCCACTACCCCGAAAACGCAGTGAAACGCCCAGCGATCCATAACGAGGGCTGTTCCGCGTAACAGCCCACTCCTACCTGCTACCTGCTTGCTTGCCTTTCTGATCCTCGCATTGATTTCCAAACTTGGCCACGTTCTTCGCGTGGCCCGACCGTCTCTGGCAAAAACACTCTAACTCGGGCGCGTCAATTAAAGCAGCCAGGATCATTGCTTCTGGATACAGATGTATCACGTACCTAGTTGCATAATATTCGATCCAGCGTAATCCCAGGAGACGTTATCGTCCCATGTTTCTATAAGGATAGTCGGCCCTGAATTATCTTTGCCACCGGGACACGTGGCTTTCCGTTCCGTTGTAATGATTCAAATGCGACGTGTCCCTGAGGACTGTCGCATGTCGACTGAGCTCAGATGGTGGCTAACGACCTCAAGAACCTGAAGGACCGGAGAAGCCGACAGGCGGAAACAAAATCCAGGACGAAAGTCGTGAACGGCATACCAGTACATAGCGTGCACGATCTTCGTGAAATTTTTCCTTTTCTCAGTCGAACACGTTTCTCATGCGTCATTTGTATCTTTTGATTTTACTATATTTTTCCTCTTGTCTGTTCACAGAGAGCGAACAAGGATCTTGGGAGAGCGGACTGTCTTACGAGTGCCGGTCACTTCTCTTCAAGGCGCTGCACAATCTTATCGAACGCTGTCTGCTGTCCCGTGATTTCGTACGGCTTGGCAAGTGGTTCGTGCAGCCTTACGATGGCTTCGAGAAACATCGCTGTAACAGGTATTTATTTGGCGGTCGTCGCGTCCAGTACGAACATTTTATTAGATATTAGAATTGCGTGCCAAGGACACTCCCGGCTACCACGCGAGTTCGATTTAATGACAGGCCGTGCTTTGTTTCTTCCAGCAGTCACTTGTCCTTCTCCTTCGCGTTCTTCGTTCACGGCGAGAGCACAGTATGCGCTAGTGTCGACGTCAGGCAACATCCTGCTGTTCGTCATCTCACCAGGGCCTGCTTGCAGAAGACGCAAACGTCCCAGTCTGGGGTCAAGGGTAAGGAATCTTTATTGACCTGGCTTATGGTTAAATTAGAGGGTTCGTTGGACCTGGACTTTTATATCGAAGGCTCTTTGACGTCAGGGAACTTGGTCCTGAGACTCGAAATTCTCAATAAGAGTCTGGCCATGCTCGTGCGTCCTCTGTTTACAATTCTGCCTTCTGATTTCACAGTGATCCTTGCACCTTACGGGTTAGCTGGTACGTTGATCGGCCAGGTCGGCAGAGTGGACAGTCAGCTTCTCGAAGAGTGGAAGCATTTTTATCCGATCAATGGCACCAGCAGCGAATCAGGATTACCGCCGTTGGTGGAGGTGCTCGTTGGCGGCGTTCGGATGCGATATCCATCCTGCTACGTCCTCGTTACGGATATGGATGATACGCCGATCGAGACTCCCTTATCGCCACCCAGCAGTCCTGCCAGCTACGAACATCCGCTTTCGACTCAACGCGACTTGAAGGCGGCAACCGAATTGCCGGAACGCGTGTGGGCCGAGTGCACTATCAGCTCGCCGCTACCTGCTTCCAAGATGACGGAATCTTCCCCGGAACCTGGCACCTGGACCTTCGTCGACCCGACACAAAAGTCTTCCTGCATCTGTACCAAGTGAGTTGGTCGGCGACGTCGCGCACTCTTCTGTGACTCGAGATACAAGGAGCGCACGATGCGTTTAGGCATTAAGAAAAATTACTGTCTTCCTGCACAGATAAGAACGAAATAATTGTTAGTCGAGCGTTTTACTCTGTACGCGAGCTCTGCCACTTTTTTGTATATCTATTGTATTTCTTTTTTTCTACCTTCATTCGTTTCGAACTGTCTTGTTTGTCACGCCAGATACAAGAGAGGCCCTACTAGTCGCCGTTTTGTAGTTAGTCGAATTTGCTAGTGGCATGAATCCATATAACACATAGTGTTTGTAATCGTTGAAGGCAAGTGTCACACGTGACAACCAGTAGAGCACGTGATCCGAAGCAAATTTACTTTTAATATTTTATCGTTCGTCACGTGTGATGCCCTCTTATCGCCTAAGCACCGCGGTGCCCATTCGATATCTTTTCTAGTAGATTCTTGTAATTGTTTGCCGGATTTTCCAGCGACAGAGCAACGATACTTCAACTCGCGCTGCTCCGTGTTTATGCATGTTAGGATTTAATCCAGTGGTACGCCAATTATTATTGGGACAGTCAGTCAGTGACCACGCAAACGGTAGCTCATATTGTACGTCGCAATGTGTGCATGCCCAGAGAAATTCAGATCTTAAGATGTGTAGCTGAATGCGAAAGTACCGCGAAAACTCATGGTAGCCGGTACCTATGCATTAATTTTCACTGTTTTATTATATTTTTACAGCTGATCATTCTCATCGTACAGGGCCATCCACGTGCGACGCTCCAGTTACATTTGACAGTCTAATCAGTGAGTGTTGCCAAATCTGACTGGTGACGTCTCAGCTGGATGACCTTGTACAGACTGTCACGATAGATTTTTATCCATTGGATAAAAATCTATACAGAGTCCTGAAGTACCAAGTACCAAGAACCAAGATTTTTCACCTGGAATACAAATTTTGCTAATACTAATTCAGTTCAGGATCCTTCAGGACTCTGTATGCTGATGAGGATGAACTCCTAGACTGAGACACGAAGGGAATGGAGATGTTAAATACATCGGTTACAGGTGTGCCACCCCCGGGGGTTGGAAGGGCCTGGTCTCCTCTCAGATTCAGAGGGAAAGAGTAGATAAAGGTGGGCGGAGGGTCGTACCGTTCCATCGACGCTCTACCACCCAGTGGGACGTTTGTCCCTCTGTCCCTGCCAATGCCCCCAGGTGGGTAACCTCTGACCCCTCCCTCGATATCAAATACCATCTTTTCACCTCACGTCTCAGGACTGCAATGATAACAGTAACACACCACCAATCATCCATCATTGAGTCATCATCGTCACCGAACGCCCCATTCGTAATGAACTGGCTCCAGATCATCGCTCTGGAATCATTCGTTGCTTCTAATACGTCTTAACTCGCTCTACACCTTTCATCTCACTCACTCACTCACTCACTCACTCACTCTTTCTCTCTGTCTTCACGTCGACGCGAATCACGCTGTGGGAATTTGGCTTGCAAGAATAACCAGGAACAACGATAACAGACCCGGGATACCCGGGCAGGAATCATCACTCGAAATTAATTTGTATCTTTAATGTCGCAAGTAACGAGTCGTCAATGATACGAGAATCTCTTGGAAGGCAAAAATTACTTAAGTGATTATTGACCTTTTTTTTTATGTAATATTGTCGATTAGACTCAAGATCAATCCTGTGACGTAGCGGTAGATGTTTCTGGATGCATGTTGTTTTCTTTTACTTTTTTTTTTTTTTTTTTCTTCAATCACTGGGCTTACGCCTTTCGGTTATCATTAATTTACTTTCATGCTCTGTAAACTCTCTTGCACGAAAGGGAGCAGCTTCTTTGCTGTTGTTTGTTGTTGAATATATTAATATCAGATACCTGTCAGTGATCTAGATTCATGCGCCTCTCACGTTCGTTCAGTGTGCCTGTGCATGACTTCCTCTTCACAGACCCTCGTGTATTAAGTTTGCCTACTTGGTCCTCTATGTCGCTCTGTATCATGGTTTACTGGCTGAGGTTAATGGAATTCTAGTATACTGCTTTGTTCGGACATGTTGATCATCATTAAAGGATCAAATCACTTAGCTTCGATAGAAAAAAATATATATATACTCAGGCGTTGGCCTGACTTCCGGCTAAGAAATATTAAATTTTGTTACTGTAATAGGTCCGTGCTGAACAGAACGGAAGCACCTAGTACACCACCTGGTGGGCCACCCTCGTACCCAAGAGGTCCTCCCACGGGTGGCGATTGTCTGCCAGTTCCATCTGTGGGTTCACCAGGATCACCGGCCCCGTCGCCACTTCCTACGCCGCACTCGGAACCAGCTTCCGTTCCACCAGCTGATCCAACGATGCCGACCCTCAGTCCGCAGCCGCCTCCAAGTCAGCCGAACACAGCGGCACCTCTGACACCTCCTCAAGGACCGAAGTCGACGGCTTCGTCAGCCTGCAACAACCAAGTGCTCAGTCCAGCACCTGGTCCTACCTTGAAGCGACCCGTTCTGGCTTCGAGGGAGTACGAGGGTGCTCTCCTAGAAGACGAGCAACCGCTCTCGTGGCTCTACGACTATTCGACCCAGGAAGCCTGGCTGAATCATCCCGTGAAACGATTCAAGGGCTCGCCAACCGGACCTACCAATTTACGCAGCAACAATCTCTATCCGCCAACGAGTAATCAGGTGCATCAGGCACAGGCTCCGAAGTTGGAGATCAAGCAGGAACCCAATGCCGCGCCTGTGAGTATCCCACGTACTACTTCGGCCTTTGTCCTTTTTCTCTAGTTCTCTTGTATATGTTGTCGCGTGCTAGTGAATGTTTAGTGGTTTTTTTGTCAATGGTGCGTTTTCATGTCTTTCTTGTAGGGTGAGTGTATTGGGGGTAGAACAGATCCGTATGAGTTTGACGTAGCGGGTGAGGAGAATGGCACGGGAGTAGATGGACTCAGACGGCAGAGGGACGATCCTCCGAAGCCTGGTTCCCTATTTACCAGCGAGGGACTCCAGGCCTCGTATAAGGACCTCGATCAGATATTTGATAATTCCGATCCTGATACTTCCAGCGATGAAACCGTAAGTCTCGTTATTAGAAGGCCAATATGACTCAATAACCCCTAAGCATGGCAGTGCAACAATAATACATTAGTCCAATAGCATATGCATATCTCCCTCGAGCGAATAGTTTACGATTGTTAGCTCTATAAGAGTTCTCCTTTCTTTTGTACAGAATTTAAACCAGCTTCAAGTACAAACACCGCCAGGCTCGAATAAGTCCGGCGGCCTCCACGAAGAAACCAGGCTGGACGGGACGAACAAGCATAACAACCGAGGGGTAGGCGTACTTCGTCCTGAGGAACTCTCAAAGATGTTCCCCACTCCACCGTCCTTGGAGCACAACCCGGTAGCCTCTCCCTGCCAGCTTAGCGATCCTCCCATGGATCAGACCGAATTATCTGCTCCCCAGCGTCCTCTGCGACATCTACCGGACATTTATCCTAACATGGGGTCTCCACCAGAGGAACCCATCGAGGACTGGTCCTACGTGTTCAAGCCAGCGTCGATCTGCAAGCTCGTCGGTTCTTCCAAATATGCTCCGCTGACGAATCTGCCCAGCCAATCCCTGCCACCCGTGACACTGCCGTCGCACTGCGTGTACAGACCCTCCTGGCAGTGCAATCCTACTCCCAGCAATCCTGAGAAGACTCTTCCGCCTACCAGGCCAGGCTCGGTTCAACAGCCATGTTCTCCGAGTCCAGCACCTCTCGGTGCACCCTACCGTTCTACGACGATGTCTGGAAGACCACCGCCGCCACCATATGACCAACCCAGTCCTGCTACGTCTACGACGTCGTCGTATCTCAATAAGAATCTGAATAGCATCGAGGCTGACACGCCAGGACCAACCCGAGCTCCCGAATCGAATTCACTGGTGGTCAACATTCTTCTTGGCGACACGGCTCTCAACATCTTCCGGGATCACAATTTCGATAGCTGCAGTCTCTGCGTCTGTAATGCCGGGCCGAAAGTCGTCGGGAATATTAAGGGTGCGGATGCCGGTGTCTATCTGGCTGGTTCCTGGGGTTCCGGTAGTGCTCTTTTCCAGGATGACGATCAGATTAGGTGCAGCTGTGGGTTCAGCGCTGTGGTAAACAGACGACTTGCGCACAGAGCTGGACTCTTCTACGAAGACGAGATGGAAATCACTGGAATTGCGGAGGATCCCGCAGAGAAGAAGAAGGGTTCTTTGGTCGCTGTGGCGTGCGGAGGAGGGAAATGTCCCGAGGGTCTGGACTCGATACCACCCAATGTCCTAGAACTTCTTAGGGAACAGTGTCTGATAGTTCAGAGTTCTGCTAGTAGTCTCTACAGAGCCGCTAGAATATACGCCAGCTCCAAGAGTTTCCCGCCTCTCGCGCCCACGGTGAATACCCTCGAGTTCAACGATGGGAACGAAGTGTCCCTGGCCGCCCTTGACCAGGGCAAGGTAGACGGTTCGCAAAACGAAAGGACAAACCGTGTGAACGGAGTACATCGATGGGCTTTCCTCAGAGCCAGAGGTCCTCAATGTAGCGGCGACATCGTCCGGATGATGAGGTCTCTTCAGCCTCTTCTTCAAGAAGCAGTGCAGAAGAAATGTACGACCAGAATGTGGGAGGCGCCGTACACTGTAGCTGGACCACTGACCTGGAGGCAATTCCATCGTCTAGCTGGGCGTGGAACGGATGATCGCTGTGAACCTCAACCCATACCGGCGCTAGTTGTTGGCTACGACAGGGATTGGTTGTCCCTATCACCCTACGCCCTGAGCTACTGGGAGAAGCTTCTTCTGGAGCCTTACGCTGGACCTAGGGACGTTGCTTACATCGTCGTAGCACCAGACAGTGATCCAGTTATTAACAACGTTCGTTCATTCTTCCGAGAACTCTCTACTACCTACGAGGTAAGGATCTTCTTCGATACGATCTTATTGCTGATTCCAAAATATTAACTATTCTCATTGCACGCTCTTCTCTTCAGATCTGTCGACTAGGTAGACACACTCCTATTTCGAAAGCTCTGCGCGACGGAATTCTTCGCGTGGGCAAATCGGCTGCCCAAAAATTGACCAAGCAACCGATCGACGAATGGTTCAAGTTGCTCGGCGAGAACCAAATAGGCGAATTATTAGGGTTATATGCCCAAGTTTGTAACCATCGGCTAGCACCGTACTTGACCCAGGTCATACAGGACCGTAGTCTATTGGACCCTGGTGACGTGCAGCCTGCGAATAAACAGCAACAACAGCCTGCCGCTCCTACTCCAGAGGCGCCACCAGCCACGCCGGATGGAACGACACCGAAACCAGAACCAGTTGGTACGTAGGCTCACTTTTAAAGAATTTCCCTCGTTACTCGAAACATTAGAAATTACATTGTACATATTCTACTGTTACAGAGGGAGAAAATACTAGAAGCGAGACGCCATCTTCGAACACGACACCAAATACTAATTCAAATATGGGTAACACGACGCCTACGTCCCAAACGACGACCACGACGACCACCACCACCACCACCACCACAACTACCGTAGGTCCCGACGAAGAGGAGGTAGAACCACCAGCCGTTGTCGTGTATCTGGTGGAACCGTTCTCTCTAGGAGGACCTGAAAATCCTGATCGTCGACGACTCGCCATCCTGGCTCTGCTGCGTGCTTACTCCGCTGCTGTTAACAGCATGCCAGAAAATATTCGATCCAATATTAACGTTCAGGTAGATATTCCCCAGAGTCATGGAAGATACCTACTTAAGATCCTTTGAGAAGATGATTATTAATAACTGCGAACAAACTTTTAGCTGATATCCTTGGAAAGCATAATGGAGTTGGGACGGGCTCGCGAGAGACGAAAAATCCAAGACGAAATGAGAGCACTGGCGTTGAATGTCTTCCTTCAAGGCCGGCGACTCTTGAATCACAATTCGACAGTGAAAAGTCTCACCGGATTCGGAACCGCAGCAGCCGCTGATCTGTTCCTTAAGAGCAAAGATGTGTGTCTCGAATATTTATTCTAATTCATTCTTATTGTCTGTTAGATCGTACTGACTCATGCAATTTTCTTATTAGGATAGAAACAAGGCACCCTACAGGCTTTATGCGCCAGCATACGTGCTGGCTCCACTCAGAGCCAAAAGCGAAGCACCCGAATCCTTTGGAATGGCAGGTCCCGAGGAATGCGCGGTGCTTTACCTGAGTTATTGTCTGAGCGAGGATCAGTCATGGCTGCTGGCGGTCGCTACGGATGATCGAGGTGAGATATTCGAAACGGCAACTATCAACATTGACGTGCCGAATAGAAGACGACGGAAACGAGCTTCTGCTCGACGAGTCGGTCTTCAGAAACTCATGGACTTCATACTCAGCGTTATGTCGCAAGGGGTCAGTATTCATTTCTCAGATGTAACAAGATGATCAACAGCTGTTTCAATGACGTTTTCGTGTAACCCTTAACAGGTACAACCATGGAGACTCGTAGTTGGTCGAGTTGGACGCATTGGTCACGGTGAGCTCAAGGGCTGGAGTTGGTTGTTATCTCGCAAAGCCCTTCTCAAGGCGTCCAAGCATCTCAAGGAAATTTGCGGCCAATGCAGTCTGCTTTATCCCTCTGCCGCACCCTGTGTTCTCAGCGCTTGCTTGGTGTCCCTCGAACCGGACTCTACCCTTCGTTTAATGGCCGACCAATTTACTCCGGACGAGAGGTTCAGTCAAGCCTCAGTCAACTGCCAACTGTCAACCCCGCAAGACGTTACCTGCACTCATATACTCGTGTTTCCTACATCCGCCACTACTCAGGTAAGTCTAATATTTTTTTCGGTATCTAGAATGTTCAGGCAATTCATGGGGGTCGCCCTTCTTATCACTGATCGCTCCGTGTATTTCCTTTGTACGAATTCAGTCGTCCCAAACCGCGTTCCAAGAACAACACATCAATGGACCGGAATTAGGGGACGAAGAAATGTTCTCTGCGCTGAATGACGATATGCCTGAAGGTATGGAAGGTATGGGAGATTTTAATGACATCTTCAGCCTATGGCCTGAGCCCGGTGCGGGCGGAGGTCAAAGTCCTGGAGGAAGTCCTCATCGTCCAGAGGGCTCTCCTCTCGGAGGCGATGGCGGCGGATCTAGTCTAGGGAATCACGATGGCACCGGTAGTCCATTCCCGCCGGTCAATACACCAAGGGTATGTCTGCTCCCGTGTATTTCTTTATAGTAAAGGAAATCGACCCGGCAGAAACATAAATTGCGAACGTTAAAACCTCCTCCAGGCGGCCGTTGCCGAACAAACAGAAGAGGTGGGTACGCTTTTACAACAACCGCTGGCTCTCGGTTATCTCGTGTCGACCGCACCTACCGGAAGGATGCCACCCTGGTTCTGGGCAGCCTGTCCTCACCTCGAGGGCGTCTGTCCTGTCTTTCTGAAGAATGCCTTGCATCTGCACAGTCCCGCCATCCAGCAGAATAGCGATGATCTGTTACAACAGCAGAGCGCACTGACCGCTCATCCCTTAGATTCGCAGTACACCACCGATGTGCTCAGGTACGTTCCTTGCGCTCCTTATACCTGGATATTGTAATGACGGTGTAACCTGGGATCAGCTGTAAAGTCATAAAACAATTACAGATACGTGCTAGAGGGTTACAATGCTCTATCCTGGCTGGCAGTAGACGCAAACACAAAAGATCGACTGTCCTGCCTCCCGGTGCACGTGCAGGCGCTCATGCAGCTCTACCACGCTGCGGCAGCCCTCGTCTGACCCACACCTTATCCTTTTGTAGCGCATCACGCGCTCCTCTCTCTCGCATTCGTTATCGTAACGTCGTCTGGGGCTTTACGAGTGCGATCACCGCATCCATGCGTTCCACCTTCGTCGACGTCTTGAGGAACATTGCGTAGGAATAGTACGAGGTTAAGAGAGAGAGAGAGAGAGAGAGAGAGAGAGTGAGAGAGAGACACATTAAAGACCGAGACGAAGGGTAAGGATAAAATGTGGAAATTTATCACGCGTGATAGTCAAGAACCAGAAAGGACAAAGGTCGAGGATGACAAGTGGCCACTAGATAAGAAATAGATAGATTACTCGATGCGATAAAGGGCAATGATTTTCGATCACAGCCCGTTCCATTCATACTTTTTTCTAACCGCCGGAAATTCGCAAGATGGCGGTAGCGTCTTAGACGCTACTCTCGGGCCATCCTTCTGCTCTTTATGGGAAAATAAAAGAAGAAACTTCGCACGCAAATGGACGTGACTTAGGGAAGAATGTAGGCAAAGATTATGTAGCAACGTGTAATGGTGGCCGTATGCGAGCGGAGTGGAACTCACGCGACGTCGATAAAGAGAGAATTAAACGGAACGAGAGAAAGAAAATGTAGAACGCGCATAGGAGAAGTTAATAACAGTAGGGATGACTTTTAAAAATATAGAGCTCTTAATGTAGTCTCTCAGTCGTGTCGCATAGATAGTCCAATTGAACGAGTCGGAGATTCGCGTAGGGATCATTATATAAAAAAAAGAAAAAAGAAAAAAGAAAACATAAATGAAAAGTAAATGGTATTAAAAACGGTATCCGAATGTTTTTAATTGTAAATTGAATTTTGTACAGAGCTTTTATTATCGATAGCGACGAAGTAATATAATGATATTACGTTGTTTTTTAATTTTATATAGATAATGCGACGACGGGGACGGAACTCGCCGTTTCCTGTCGGACACTCCGACACTGATTATACACACAACCAGACACACAGGTTAAAAACACTCGTATATATTACCTCCCATTATATATATATATTATACACAGCAATGATATATATGTATATATAATATTAATTATATATAATTCAATGTTATATATATACATATATATATATACACACACCACACGTGTAATTAATTTTCTGTCTCTCTACACCAAGGGATACGCCTCGTACAAGCCCCGGCGATAATCGCGTCGAAAAGTAAAGATAAAAATAGTAAAAGCAAAGGAAAAGAAAAGACGTAAAAAGGAAAAGCCAAATTCGTCGTGCGAATGAAAGAAGAAAGAAATATATATATGCAGATAGCCCTGAGCGAGGTTATCCCCCGCCCCACTTCTTAATAACGTAACAGTTTAAACAAAAATTATTAAATCCTGTCGCTCCATCCCGTTGTTTATTGTTGTCACGTGTATAAAGTCCAATTCGCAAGCAGCCGTCGGGCTTCGAGCGACAATAACTCCGAAATGCGATTGACGGCTCCCCGGGTCGTCGTCGAAGGAAGTCGGCGTGACAAGGCCTCGCGGGCCGACTCATGATGCGTTAACGTTTAATAGTGTAAAATATATATTGTTTTTTAAATAATTTATCAAACGAAGAGGGACACGACGAGACGATCCTTTCTTCGTCGAGAATTAGCTAATTTTAACTAATGTATCGGAGAGGTTTTGTTACCCGCGACTGCGACGACAAAGAAAAAAAAAAATGAAAAAAATCACAAGACACACCATAGTCATCCATTGATTCTGACCAGCGTCCATTATCCAGACACCAAAAAAAAGAGAGAAAAAAAAACCAGCAGCACCACCAACCATCATATGCATCAACCACCAACGCTATTCCCACGTCCTTTAAATGTTATCAGGAAGAATCGAGCGGATTGTAGAATTAAAGAAAAATCTATCGAACAGCTAAAATTTGTAAAGGAAATAATAATCTCAAAGAATAAATATAATGAGAGAGAGAGAGAGAGAGAGAGAGAGAAATCGGGGCGCGCATGAGCGGAGATCACGGTGGCGAAATTGCGTCAGTCGCATAGTACAAATATGACTTGTACATAGGTTATCCCTTATAAATCCCTTATCACCCTTGCCCACTTCTCCATCGATGATACCTTCCAAATGTCTCCCTATCTCCTAGAACTCGAGACACCATTCTCAATTTCCCTACCCTGATTAATTGGTTAATTAATTGACTCACACACCACCCACACTCACTCTGTATCTATAGTATTTATTACTTGGGTAGTACGTCATTATTGGGATTATTATTATTATTATTATTATTACTATTATTATTATATTAATATTACGAAATACAGTTTTACGTGTATATATAATTATATACCCCATTCTGCATTCAAGCGGTGTCTTTGAAATTTCTCTTTGTACGGTTGACGCGAGCATGTGGATTGAGACTATTGGCTCTTTGCTATATTTTTGTACTTGCCACCCTCCCTTCCACTCTTCCCGACATTACCACTTGCGTAGCTTTATGTTATTAATTAATAACGGAGACGTGTATAAAAGTGTTTCCATTAAGTTTCTTTGAGATACGTATATTTGATGGTAATTCTTTTTTTTTTTTTTTCTTTTTTAATACATTTTCGTTAGGAATAATTGTGACCATGCACACCATTCGATTCTACGAAACGTGCAGGCGGATCACCGGTGCATCTCTTAAAGCTAGTTGTACAAAATATATATAATACGTATAATAGTGTTTAATAATATTCATGATCAATCAATACGGTAGATCCAGAACGTGTTGACGTTCAATCAGCACCGATTGGTTTCACAATGGCGATTCGCGTAATAAATTGACAGTCGCCACAGTAGTATATATATAATAATAATAATTGTGACATAATTTTTTCATTGTGCACAAGCCTTCTTCAATGTCATGGCACGATTATATGCAAAGAGTAATCTTCTTTTGCATTTGAAACATGATTGATAATGAGTCGTTGGAGCGACGGGAGAGACGGAGAAGGAATTGATCATTCTTCTGCTTCTTCTTCTTTTATGCTTGCAAAAGGCCGCAATTAATCTTAAACGAACCAAAGTATTAAAAAAATCCGACTAAGGTCAATTCTCGAGCTCTCATCGACTCATGGCTATAATCACGGAGCTTAGAGCTTACTTGATTATTTTAAAAGAAAAAAAGAAATGACTTTTAGGCAGAGGAAGAATATGTACGATAATAATGGTACGATAACTATCACTTCTGGTTACTATCTGTACGTATATAACCTCTGTCAGAATTTACGTACAGATCGTTGGCTTATACTGACTAGTATCTTGCATAGGTGAATTTTATGAATGCGTACGTATATAGTATATTTATGTGTTCGACTAGTACTCGGTAGGATCAGTCGAGTGTTCCTCGGCCGAAATCTTTTCCAATCCGTGCGTAATACCGTACGGACGTAAATGATAAATTAAGTACTCCAGTACGTACATCATGTTGGGCGATACGTAGTGAAAGGATATAGCGGTGTCGGAACAGCAATCGAGACCATCTTTGGTATCGTAGAAGATGTACTTCCAGTACCAAAAATTCTTGTCCACGTGATTTGGTATCAGATGATGTTCCGGGACGAATGGGAAGAACCTACCGCGACCATGAGGGTCCCTGGAATCCATGGCGTGCACGCCGACATTCTCCAAGCATTTGCCCATCTCTACGTCCTCCGCACCCCCGTTGTCTGGTCTACACTTTGTTCTGTCTGGCAAACCCTCCACTATCAGCTTCTCCAGACCCTTTCTGCTTAGGACGTATCCGGCACCGCCGCTCATGTAGCCCTGCTTCACGAAAGGCTTGAACCTACAGCCGAAATAAAGCGGCGACGATGGATCATACGATGATAGCATATAACGTAGATTCTCAACTATTACGTATCTGAAAAATAGGATCAATATAATGAATTATTTTTGACAGTCTGATAATCAAAGTCTGATAATCAAAAAAAATATTTGTAAGGATTACTGACGTGTCGTCGTCGGCTTTCATAAACCAATCTGCTTCATCCTTGTACTTCTGGTAGGAATATTTGAACGCCTCCTTCGTCTTCGCCCAGAGATTGTCTCGACCTTCCTTCACTGGTAAAACCACGGTCGGCAGGCTGGTATCTATTATTGTGGAGATATGATTGATTGATTAGATTTGCTTGTAGGAGGCGTATCGAGTTTACTTTGTTCTTATTCACCTTCGGCGGAGCTCATAAATAAAAGGATGTTACAACGCTTTCCCCAGGTTGCCTTCACGTGACGGGCTTTGCTCTGATGATTCTTTGGACCTGTCATCACCCAACAGAGGATACGAACTTTCTTCGCGAGATCCTGTGCGACTTTGTCTTCTCCTTTGTGGAAATCTTCGTCCTTCCCGTGAAACATCACTTCCGTATCTGGTCCTGACTTTAGTAACGGAAATGCAAATAGTTTAATCAATCTTTTCTTGTTCTTGCATGGAATCCTCTAGTCCATACCTCAAACCCCATTTCGGAGTAGTGATGAGGATCCCTGGAAGTGATCTTTTGACTGCCTGGTAGCCAATTAAACATGCGGGGGGCATCTCGAGTGGCAGTAAGAAGAAGGCAGGCAGAGAGGAATCCAAAGATCATACCAGCTGCCAGTGTTATGACAAATCTACGACCACCTCTGCCAGCTTTGAAAGAAATTTTTTAAAGAAGATTTAACAAATGGGTACTATTAACGGAAAATTTAATACATAACATAGATGTACTTTCGAAAAATAACAATTTTATATTTACCATCGAATCCTGGAAGACGTTGTTGCACCATGATCTTAAGGAAATCCTGGTAAACAGTCTCACAGTGTTTCTTTTACTGACAAGGCATCCTTGCTACGGATCCAGGTTTAGTAATCGGTCCAGGCGATGCTTCTCATTGTACAGCAAGCACGAAAACATCTCGTTCCCCTTGGTAGTCTTAATTGCTCTCTTTGTCTACAAATTTTTACACCAATCTCAATACTGAGGACTGTTGCTCGCTAGGCGGCTGACTAAGCATAATATGGACCCCTACTCGTGACAATAACTTGTGAGATTAAAACTGCTGGCTGATTAAAAGTTTGGAAACGTGATACCTTTATTGACTCTGTGTATCGGTCTCCATGTATCAGCTAAATTTACTGAGAAATCAATTTATAGTGTCTTTCAGAGTAGCTTGATAAATAGTTAGCAGACTTGGCTAATGGACACGTGTAAACTACCATAAAAGATAAAATTCTACCCCGACTGATAAAAGTTTGATAATGCATAGCTACGATATGAGTGAAAAGAAAGCAAGACAAGGGTATACAAATGCAGACACGTTTTTATAAAGAAGTATGAAACGTGCTGTAACTATAAATTAGATTAGATAATTCTACTGCAGATATATAGTCAACAACAGAAATGAGCTATGCCATTCTTTTGTGTTAGAGTTATATTATTCGTACTGAGTTGTAATATATGCAGACTACTTTATAAGTATAGAGCTCATATCAGTTGGTACAGGTTCATGAGGGTACTTTTAATTCTATCAGGTTAACAGCTTTATAATTAATATTTAGCTGTGGGAATATATACAAATATGACTTGTAGGCCACTGAAGTATAAATTTGACTAAAAAAGAATTTTTGATATCTTTGTTGACTTCCAAGCTATTTATCTCATATCTTTTCATGGAATTGTAAATGTAATCAGTTAAGATAATCCGTTGGATAATACGAAGTAAGATTATTGACTCTATTAATTATTACAGCTCAAATTTTTAATGTTGCGATAATAAAGCAATGAATTCAATTGCACAAATTAAGAGCCTAATATAAAAAAAAAAAAAATTTCTGATATTATTTCATGGAGATATATAACATTATTGTGTTGTCAAGGCCACAGGAAAAAAATTTGATGCGTGCTGTGAATTAAATGATTGTGCAGATTAGCTCCAAATCCAACCAACAGTGTACAAACAAGGATAAATTAATAACATAGTACTTAAACATGGTCGTAAACAATAAATAAATAATACATATTAGTTGACTATACACAATAATATTGGATAACGATATACTACAAAACAAGTAACACTAATAATCAGCCATAATAATGAAACTAGTTCAGATAATAAATAACAAGATAAAACCAAACATACCGGCTAACGAAGCTGTCAAAACAGTTGATTTAACAGGATAGAGAGAAACTCCATTTCATTTTCCACCGCTCTTAATTGAAATTTACATGATAAAATATATGCCGTAAAATAAAAAAACCATTATCGCACATTCCTAAGTAAATACGTTAATAAATTTACATATTAAAGACTGAAAGAAGTCGTAAAAATAATTGTCACTAGTCTAACACTCGAAGCTCACGCATGAAGAAGCGTAGCCTTAGGTTATAAAGCCTAACGAAGCCAACTGAAAACGATAAGAGAGAACAGCGATAAATATACTTGCTGGACAGTGCATCAGCGCTTAACCATTCCGTGGTACGCTTAAACATGCCGGATATCTTTGTCCGATATTTCTGCACCTGTTACATGATTCGCGACCTCGGCTCTCCAATTTACACGAAATGATTCCATTCCGACATGACTCCTTTCACGCAGCATAGTAATAAAAATAGTTTATCCACACGAGAGATTCTTTGGATCTTCTAGGGAATAATCACCATTTGGAAAAGTACAAACTGGGAAAACGTCATTTATCTTTAGTTCATTTATTTGTTGCAAAGGATTGCTGCATGATATGATTTGAAAATTTAATAAACAAGTAACCATTAATCGTTCACGACGCAGCGCCATTTGCATTATTACTGACTGTTAGTGAGCGTGAAAATTATTTATCGGACTGAGAACAGAGAGTTTTAAAGACTTATAAAATCGTACACTTTTTACGTGAAAAAATGTAACTGGTAGAGTTTTAGTATTTAGCCTTAAATTTTCAGAAACTGTATCCTTTTTTTCTGACTATTCTATTCGTATTTTTTTTTGCATTACGCGCCTTGGATGTTACAACATTTTATGCGTTGGGAATTTCTTTTTGCGGACAAACTGTGACATCCTGATTATCGCTATTATAGTTTTCACGGCAGTTCGACTGCGTGAATTGGCAAGGCGAGTTCGTTAGCTACCAAAGCTCTTATGGGCGTTCCCACGATGTTCAGTCCTCTGTATTAAAGTTGATTTCTGGTACGATGATGTTATGGATGCTGTATACAGGCTCTGCAAATAAAATTCCACTCATGCACTTCGCGGCGCTTGGCTGTCCGTGCCTAAGATCGAGGACCTTGTTCCTAAGCGCAAAGAACTCATGCACACCTTGTCCTTAGTTTATTTGGGAAGTACATGGACAACGTCACCGGCTAAGCGAACATTTCGCTCGCTCGTCGATCCGCTCAAGTGACCCGATTTATTTCCGAGAGTGAGAAGTCCTGAGAAATTCAGGTAACATTAAACAAATGACCCATGCCCACATTCTTTGTCACCCATATGTTTATGCACATGTACGAGTTAGTAAGTATTCCCTGAATTACTTAGGATATATCTTATTTATGCATTAATGACAGACTGAGAATTTGAAAGCATTGAATTCTGATTTGGAAAGAGGAATCGTAATTCCATTTTAATTCCTCATTTGAACTTGCCGCTCAATCCTAGTGAGATTATTTATCACTAGGCCGCGACACAACAAATCGAATAGTTAGACTTTTTAATACTTCATGTTGGCAAACGACGCGGTGCATCATGGCGCATGTCAATCCTTGTCTGCTAGCCGTACGTCAGTGTACGAAAGAAAGGGGTGTTATCCCTGGATTCTTTGGGATAATGTTCACGAAATACTCAATTGTGTAAACTCCGCGAGATTTATATTAAAGGAAAAAGATTCTCAGAAAAGTGTCAACATGGCGGAATCGGCCGGGCCGATTCTCCACGTGATAGTCGTTGGATTTCATCATAAGAAAGGATGTCAAGTAAGCAGAAAATGTTCTTCATATAATTTTAATCTTTCCCGGAGTTTTTCTCATTTGTAGTACTATTTTGAAATGTGTAAGCTTTAATTAACTTTATTTGATTTTTGAACATTTATAATTACATTGCACCTTAACTAGGCACTTAGTACATCCACATTTCTCAGTCAATTGTACCAGCACAAGAAGTGACTCAATTCTGAAATCTAATACCTGAATCTAGTGGAAATATAATGCATAAGAGCTCTCTCTACACTATATTACTCATTTGTTATTGCTATGACTGGATAACTAGCTAATGTATGATAAATGTATTCATTTAGTCGATAGGAGTAGCACTTTAATGATGTAATGTTATGAGCATTGAATAATATTTACTCTATCGAGTGTAATGTCTGTTTACAAATAATGTATACTTTGTCTGTCTTGTTTATCAATAAAGAAGAGTATTTTTTGAATAACTCTAAATGATTGTTGAACTTAGTTTGGTTGCATTGTACATTCATTAAAAGATACATGAATGGAATATTCTATGTTTCTTATTACTTTCAGGTGGAATATTCATTTCCACCTTTAGTTCCTGGTGCTCCAAATGAGTGTCCTCTTGGATGGAAATACTTGCCAACATTGGCATTACCTGATGGATCTCACAATTATGACGAGGATGCAGTGTACTTTCATCTACCTAGTCTCACTGATTCTAAACAAACTGTATATGGAGTTTCATGCTTTCGTCAAATTCCAGTAGAGGTAGGATCACATCAAAACTTTACATTAATAAAATCACTCATATTAGATAATTAGTCAAGAATTCTATGAAAAACTCGTCATTATTCTTAAGGCTCCAAAAGGGTTTTTCTAAAGTAATTAGAATAGTAGACTTTTTGTCAAAAGTCCTCTGGCTCATTTTGATTTACTAATATCAATTCATTTTATACAGAAATTAAAAAATCGCACATCAGATATTACGAGGGGTACGGTGCAGAAGTCTGTGTGTGTTCTAAGTATCCTGCCATTGTATGGACACATTCAAGTGAAAATGGCCCTCATTACTCATGCTTATTTCGATAAAGGAGACTTCAGTAAGGTTTCTTTGCTCGAAGACACCTATCATCATCTAAACTCATGTATGAGTAGTGACAGTCAGATGCCACCACAAGTTTTTGTTGGTAATTATTCTCATTACTAAAACAATAATTCTATCTCGTACGTTTTTCCAATGCGGAGCACCAAGTTATAATTCACTAGTATGCATAACAATTAAGTAATTTGCAAACTGCTATAAAGTGTGATATAATCGTTATTTGCAGGACTCTCTGCGAGGGATTTCATACTACATTTCCGACACAAGGCACTTCTCCTCTTCAAATTACTTTTACTGGAGAAAAAAGTTGTCTTTTATCAATCACCAGTACAGCCTCTGTGTGTAGCGATATTGACTCTACTATCGTTACATCCTGGTATGATTGAGCGTGGTTTGGAGCAGGCTGCCTGCGTTAGGTAAACTTCAGAGTAGTGCATCATAATTACTTAAATTATTCGCCACAGATAAATAGTGAACTTGCGTATTATTGCTCGCAGACCATCCCGACCAATGTCGCCAATACCGAACTTCGATGAAGATGAAATTCCAACGAAAAATGTCCATTCAAATTTATCCGGTAGCGAAGTTGCAAAAGATAATTCATCAGTTGCGAATTGTGAGAACAACAGCAACATTGCTAACGAAATACCGCTTTGTATGAATGATAATAAGACCATTGAAACTATGGAAGGAAAGTGCATGGACGGGATGAATTTGCCGATGAATAAAAATTACAGTGATAACGATAGCGAGTCAGAGACCAAGCTGATCGAAGTGGATTCCATGAAGGAGTGCACAGAGTCCTTCGGTGATGATAGTAATTCTAAATATTCTCCAAAACCGACCGACAACGTGCACAGGGTTCATAGTGTAAATACAATAAACGTAGGTATGGGAGACGCGGATAACATATTGCCCAGAGACACTAGTAGCGATGCATTGTCAGATGCAAGAGTCACGAATAATATCACCCAGATAGCACACATCAATCCAGAACTCTGCGGATTACCTTTAAGTTTGTTTTCCAGGGTACGTAATCATCCTAAGATGTGTATTTACCAATGGTATACCTGGTGGCTTATTTTTTATTTGAAAAGAAATGTATATTGTGCACTTGCAGGGATACCTTTGTCTACCTTACCTGTCCCTACCATACTTGGATCTCCTGGGGGACGTGAACGTCCGAGGGTACATCGTGGGAGCAACAAATGTTTTGTTCAAGCAGAAAAAACAATTGATCGACGTGTTAATCGAGGTACGTGCCAATAGCAGTAGTAGCTTTACAACTGTTTCTACGAAGAAGCTAAATGTCTAAAGTTCTGATTATTGGCCAGGTTGAAAGTGCACGAATAGAAGCGACGGATCCGGAATTGAGGCGTCAATTGCACTTAACCACGGAAGACTTGAGGTTCGCCGATTACGTGGTGAGACATGTGACTGAACCCAGGAAGGACGCTTTCCTCGACGGCGTCGGTTGGGAGGGTGGAGACGAATGGATAAGAACACAATTCCGAGTATATCTTCTGAGCCTTCTGCGAACTTCTTTGCAGCAGGATACGCGGCAATCCGATCATTTCAATTCCGCCTTCGTAACAGCCTGGCGCAATACTAGCAATTACAAAGTTTGGAGCGGTATAAATAAGCCTGAGATCAATAGTATTGAATCAGGTCATCCATTTGCTGGACAACTTTCTGTACAGGATATGAAATTACGTTTGTCCCAGTAAGTACTCTGGATTCTGTATTCTATGGATAATTGTTTAACTTGCACGATATCCCATTTATTCTGATTACAGTACGATGCAGAACACTGAGAGCGGAAGGAAGATCAATCAGGCTATGGCATCTACGGGAAGAGCAGTAGCGACCACCGGAAAGGCAGTAGGTAAGACGAATCATTGACGTTAAATATTAAAATTGAACAACACTGACTATTAGTCCGACGCTCTACATCTTTCTTTCTTAAAATTTTATATTCAATTTATAAAAGGCGGTGCAATCTCGCAAGCCAAGGGAGCTTTTTCAAATTGGTGGAGCACATTGACGACCGTTCAAGGAATGGATGCTGAAGGGAGAAATGACAATCAAACAATGGATAACCAGGAAACAGTTTCAAATCCGACAGAAAAATTGAATCCAATGGTGAATGCTGTAGATACACCTACGAGTAATACAGACACTGCTGTTATTACGGATCAACTGTAACTGCCATCTTACGAAAATTTCATCGCCATAATAATTCAGGCCAGAGACGTCGATTTCTGGGAGGGATAAACTGACGAATTAATTAAATCAAATATAGGTAAATGGCAGTAGTGATAACGTCAATTATTCAAAGTGAAGACAGCGAGGCTTGTTTATCACAAGTGGCTCAACCAAAACTTCTTTACACAAACTATATTGAGATTTTAATAATTGCAAATTGGCGGAAAAAATTTATCTGAGATCGGCGTCTTTGAGCAAATAATTGTCCCTTCTCCTGACCCGTCGCATGCGCCCTTGTAGATGTATATATTATTTAATATGTTAGTTGTACCCACCCTCGTTCGATAATGTGCAAAGACTGACCTGTGAATTACAAAAAAATAGTAAACTATTAAGTGACTTTAATGAATTAAAAAAAAAAAAAGTAATTTTATCGCAATATGTATGCTGTTACGTTTCTTTGACATTGCCTAGATTTGTATTATTTAATTTTAAAAGTTAGATAGTAGTATAATCGATGTACACTCGCGCAGAAGTCTTTGGCCAAGAACTATTTAATATTTAATGAAATTTGGCTAAAGACTTTTTGCACGCTAATGCACGCTATACATCTGATAGAATTGCAAGTCACTCGTACCAGGCAATTGTACTTGGCATGGTATCGAATGGGGGTTTAGAATATTATTTAATTAAAATCATATAAAACCAGGGTAGTTTTTATATAGCGATTTATATGAAAGTGTTGAATATCATAGAAATGTCAAATGACATTATAGTTTCCTTTATACTGGTACATGTAAGTGTACGCCATGGTCATGATGTATTACACTTCATTTGACAATGTTTTACCTTTTGCCTGGTGTCATCTGAAGTACATGTGAACTGATTTCAAAGATTTTAATATTGAGAATGAGAATGAGCCAATTACTGTCACTTAACAAACACAATTGATAGCTGTAGCAAAAACGAAATGACAAAATGAAAATCATTTGTATCGAGATTATGTACTTGAAGTATACTTTGATAAGTTTATAGATGAATTAAGAAATCATTTCCACAAGTATAAGGATAGTGAACCACAGAAAAATGAATTTATTTATCAGGGTTATGTTTTAACGTGTTACTTTTTCTACTTTCTCTAGAAAATTCCAAAATTTAAGGCTAACGATTAGAGAATTATGAAAAGCAAGGAATCTAAGAGCTGTGTGGTTATAATTAAATTGGAAAATGTGATATTTTATTTTATAAATGAAGAAATTAAGTCATATCGTTGCTTTCATAACCGTATATTTGCGAGACTGCATACTTCTCAATTATTTGAAAAATAATTCATGCCTTTCAGGCCGAATGGTACTAATCAATTGGAATAAGATTGCTTTAACGTTGCGTAAACAAAATAAAATCTTTCCAGTCCCCTTTATATTTGAACACAGCAAAAAGCGATATGATGTAATACATAAACGATCATCTATAACAAAACTACCTGAAGAATAATTGATAATTAATTTTTAAAAACTCTTATTTGCTAGTCACCCGTTATGTATACGTATATATAGATATATAGGCCTCTACAAGCATATATATATATATAGTATATACCCAAATGTATACGAAATATTTTGCAACATTCATAATAGGTACTCGACATTTCTATACGACATTAACGAAGCAAAAAGGCACATTTATTTATTTAGAAGTTTTTTTATTATTCCTTATTAACCTCTTAATAAGTAGCTGCGTATTGCGAATTTAGTGATGGCGCAAGAAAAAGAAAGGAAAAAAAACCATATAAAGAGAAGCTAATTCGTAAATAGAAATAAATAAAGATCCCCTAAGTAAAGTGATAATTTCCGCACGTAACGGAATTCGCACTATCATTGAATCATTAGGTTCTAATAACAATATAATACATATACAAGAAACATGAAGTTCAGAGATCATTGAGTATAACAATAAGAGGGCGATCATCGTCCCTTCGATAAAATAAAAATCTATCATACTGAGAAATCTGTGCAATGAACGAAAATAAAGATGAATGTGATGAATATACCGTGTCACCGTGAATATAAAAAAATTCGGCATTCCTATGGTCCAACATTAAAATATCTAATGCTGAAAAGTAAATTTGCTGTAAATAAAAAATTACGCACAGCCTTCAAAAAGCAAAGGACTGTCCGAATAATTTGATTCGTAATGGCCGCGGGGGTTGCGATTTCCCAGGCAGGCAGGCAGTCAAGCCTTGCAGCCTGGCTAATAATCGTGTGTCGGGCTCAGTCGGGTTTCGTGCGAGTGCGAGGTATCAATGTTTTTAAAACAGGTTGTGATTGGCGAAGTGATGTGACGTCACATCAGACAAATCCGTGACAGAAGTCGAGGAAGTTTCCCTGTGTACATCACACTCGTAGGGATATGTGAAGTACGTTAATAATATTGAAACTGTGCCGTACAAGACTTTCGGTGTTTGTGACTGAGAAACGGCAACGAGAATTCTCACGTCCTTTGACGTACGGAAGTGAAAAATTCCCTGACTGATACCTTCGGTTTGTTGGGTTTGTTAGGTTACGTTACTCTTGGAGTTTTGTCAGTGTCTCTCAGTCAGGATTATCCCCGTGCCATTTCCCCGCTTATCGTAACACCGCTTACACCACCTTTCACCTTTCACCCAACCTGTAATTTCACACTCTTTTACCGCAATTCCATTAATTCCACCAGGAAGCAGCATCCTGACTCCCCATGTATAACACGATAGCCGGGACTGAGTGATCGGTGCGCATACGTTAAATATTATTGAGTAGTCCTTTTGATAAATAATATATTTAATTCTCGATAAATCTTCGGCACATTGAGGTTTGTAACAATTCATTACACATAATTTAGGAGTAATAATGAGGCTTGTCGCGTCATTTTCTTACATTCCTTGTGAGGAAACTTTTTCAGACTAAATATAGTCGCGTTCATTAGCCTTAACGAGTATCAGGATGAATTCCAATTGAGAGGTCTTAAATTATTCCTGCGGGTTCTTTAAATCTTACTTTCTCTCTCTCTCTCTCTCTCTCTCTCTCTCTTTCTCTCCCTCTATTGTCATTTGAATGATAACCACTGCGTATGGGGTACTGCCGCAGTGACGTCATCGTCGTCATCCTATCCAAGGTCATTCGGCAACACACTGACGACGACGATGACGTCTAAAGTACTCTCAGACGGGGCACGAGGTCCAAGTCCACCTGGAATTAGGTCTGCCGTAATGGTGGGATAAAGTCGTGAAATTCCGCTTACACATATCAGGAAACGTCTTCGTCTTCCCGCCAACCAAGAGGACATTCAAGCGATCGTAAAGGAAGGAAAGGAGATCGGCGGCACGAGCTCCTCTTTCTTTGCTCAACGGGCGTAAACGTATCGCTTTTAAAGATGGCATCTACCAACCCTGAAAGCGAATCGGTCACATGCTTGCCAACGTGTGTGGTTTTCGGAACGCATCAGGTGTCTCAGTGCGAGAAATAATTTTCAAACGCTTTTAGTTCTTCGTCTTCTTCGTGTGTATGCTCTTACGGTTGGCCCCTCTGCCGGCCAATAACATGATTACTATTAAAGGGCCGCGGATGTTTCGATGTTAATGGCTGCGTTTATATTTGAATTTTTCGTAAAATTTAAATGCCACCTCACGATTTATATTGCCGATATTCGATCGGTGATCGGTACTATGCTTTGTGCTTGAATTAAAACTAATAGTTATTCGTAATTTACGTCACCCTTATCTCCCACGATCAAGCTCCGTTGCCATTGGCTGTGAATAACTGTGGACGCCGACGATGGCGTCGCCTTGCGAAATTTCGGCGTCGTGATTCAAACGCTCGCGAGGCGTTACTCATTCTCTGCGAATGTTTACGTGTAGTTCGGGAATTATTTTATCTTGTGCAACGTATAACTAATCAAAGGATATACGCATTTTTCTTTAGCCTTATTATAACGCTGATAACTAGGGTTATATATCTTGTCAGCGTTCCGGCTTACGAAATTGAGGTATAGCTACAAAGATTCGCACGGAAATAGAATGTGAAATAATATTTCTGTTTTGCGAAAATATTTGTCACTATGAGCGAGGAGTGTGCGGTATTAATTGATAGGGAAATCAAGCAGATGTTACCAGCGGTTAGAAGTACTTGCGGTTCCCTGTAAAATTCTATTTCCGTTGGCTACTGATAATTCGTACTTCCGTAATGATTACGAACTCTGATACGCGATTACGAAAAATAACGTGCGATAATGACTTGAACCTATTTTTCCTCGCGCCTTTCGCGACTGCTATTTGCCTTTGTCATTCATGGCATTCCTACGGACACAGGTGGTACAACGGTCTTACGAGACTTTTCAAACTTAAAATCACAATTTCGTCCGCCATACTTCTTTCCTCGAATAGAGTACTCCGTTTCACATCCCCGAGGAGTAACTTTTGACTAGTTCGCCTTTCCATCTTGCACATTCTCGAGTAGAGGCAACATAAGAAAAACCATTTCACGAAATGGCAAAGTTTCACTGTTTCGTCGACTCGGTCATCGTTCTCTGTTAAATTGACAAAAGCCGAGAAGAGGGTGGTGGTGGCTGGGATGGCTGTTGGCTGCCCTTCCGGCATCGGGTCTAGTCGAACCATCCGGACTTTTCCGAAAGCGACGAAAAAGCGGCAGATGTCCCATTCACTAAATAGAACAGCTCCCTTCGTCAATGCGAAAGACGAAGCTAGTAGCTGGGTGGGTTTAAGTAAAGCTTAGAGTTTGGATGGCTGACTAGGTATAGGATATTCCGCAGGAAATAAATTCCTGTTTGTGTCGGGACGAAAGGGAAGGGTAGTGCTGGTTCACAGTAGGGTTTATTAGAAGGTATTCTTGGTGCGTGCTCTCGAGGCATAATCGATTTCGTCTCTTGTGTAGTTAGCTGCTTTTTCACGAGAGGAAATAATGTAAGTGAAGGAAAGCAGGCTGATAAAGCGAGAGCCTAGATATGGCATCCAGGACGGATCAAAAGGATTCGAAGTAGAAGAATATTCAACAGAAACAAAGGAGTGTGGAAACTAAGTGAGAACGAGAATGAGAGAGAGAGATAGAGGCAAGGTGCAGAGAGGCGCTTGAAAACGAAAGGAACCCAGGGATGATTCCACAGCATTGAGCTGTAACTGGCTGACCAATGTACCGAATAAACATCGTAGTTTACCGATAATAGCCGAAGGAAGGTGGTAAGCGAGCGAGCGAGAGTCAGGACGGTGGTAGCATCGTGAAGCAGCGGGGCGAGGAGGACGAAGAGGACCAAGGAGGAGAAGAGGCGAGAAGCGAAGAAGGAGGGAGCGAGAGAGCGTGGAAGGTCGAGGGGAAGAGCGGCGAGAACGGAACGGAGAGTAGAAACGAGGCGAGCGCTATGGTGAGCGCGGAGCGACGTCACTGTCGTCACCTATGCATGCAAAACAAAATTGGAGCAGTTTTCAGACGGTGCCAGTCGGACGTGTGGTGATCCTCGGTGACGATAGTGCGTACTCGATGTGTATAGTTCATAAAAAGGGATAGACGTGCGTAATTGGTGTCGGCTTCGAAGAGGTGATACCATTCCATCGAGTCTCAGGGGTAGTGTGCGGCTTAATATCGGAGAGAGAAGAAGCAGCTTTGTGACCTGGTGTATTCGTTCGTCGTGTCGTAAGGCAGTGCAAGAGGCCGCTGTGAACGAGCGTAGTAGACTCTCTCTCTCTCCTTCTCTCTCTCTCTCTGCGTTGCATTGTTTATAAGAGTGTAGTGGCCATGCACGAAAGGGACAAATCGGCAACTGGCGCCCGGCGGCCATCTTCCAGATGAGTTTTCCCCTTTCTTCCAATAAGAAGGAAGGAGAGAGTGCGAGGGAGCTGTCAAAGGGAGAGACGGAGACGGAGGGAGCGAGAGAGAGAGGCAAAGAGAGTGGCCCGGAGAGTGCAAGAGAGACGGCGAAAGAAGACAGAAGAGACGAATCAGCGAGAGCGAAATCAAGACGGAAAGATAGTAAATTCTCGCAGCCGGTGGCTACGGGATCATGCATCGTCCTCGTTGAGCACGGTGGCTTGTCTGTCGCGTGGTCAACCCTCGAAAATTGTCGCGAGGGCCCGTGCCGTTTCGAGCGTTAACCTCGTTATTTCGCGGCACGGTGAGACACACGGATACGCAGACGGTTGAAACGGCGGACCGCTTCGCCTTCGTTCCGTCCTTCCGTACGCCGCCCGTTTCTTCATTCGTATATTCATCCATTCGCTTCTCACACCTTTCTTCCTTCCTTCCTTCCTTCATTGTCTCTTCTTTCATTCGTATCCTCGACAGTCTCTTGGTTCTCGCCGCTAAGCCTGTACGTTCATCGTTTGCTCTCTCGGGTCGTGAATCAAGTTCGTTTCTCGTTATGCATATGTTCACGACGACACAACGGTGATCATGTCAGTCGCCGTTTCTCTGCCGTTGCTCGATCTCTGATTCTTGCGAACACAACGCGAGTGCTCGACGACGCGTTACGCCTCAAAACTTCCTATCGATTACGCGGTAACCTCAAACTCTCGAGTCAGCGGCCACCTTGCTGATGCGAAGATATACAACACGGAATCACACCAATCCTCGAACACACAAATATTTCAACATTTTTACTGACGTTCGTTGTGCTACAATCGATTCAACGCACGACAGGTAGATCCTTGCCACTCATTTAAACACGTCCTTTTTCCTGATGCTGCTGCCATCATTACTTTTAAATCCTTGTGTCATTTTTTGTTTTTCTGAATACTCCTTGTTGACTGTCTATTCTGTAACCTCTATTTGGAATTTATTCTGTCTTGCCTGGGCTGGGTTCAGTTGTTTGGTGTATCAATGAGTTCCCTGTCAGATTTAACAGCTTGGTGCGCAGAGATTTCAGATTTGTGCAGGACATTTGGGCATTATATAGAGGATAATATTGTGCTCTTAGTTATTTCTTTGAGAAATGACAAGTCTTGTGAGGTTTCGCAGTGAATAGATGTGTAACATTTTGTGGTACACATGAACTTTTTATGCAATGTGGCTGGTTATCAGTATTCTTCGAATGCAAGGAATTGCTTGCATTAACTATTGACATTCTGGAAGCTTATCGAGGAAGCCAAGTAATAATAAAGCAGTTGTGCATCCTCTAGTTATTAAACTAACAATATCAAGTAGTAAGCTGGAGAAGTGCCAACTATATGATAAATTTACTTCGTTCACTATTGAATATATCGTTAAGCACTAATTAGTATGGCTAACATTATTAATAGTTTGCAATGGTTTATTTCTTCATTCTTCTATCGTTCCAAGTGATTAGTATCCTGAGAATATTGATTTTATACCAGGATAACTTGTCTGATACTTGTTACTTTTATCGATGCACGAACACAGACCCATTTTGTTTATCAATGAATCCAGAATAAGCTCCAAAATAATTCATACATGTATAGTTCATCCTTAAAAACTGACAACTCCATACCTACTTTCCAATATGAAATTCCAGCTCCAATGTAATAACTTAAACACCCTTGTCTTTGGATTTTAGTTGAGTGTTGACGGATCGACGAAGTGGAGTGAAATTTGTAAAACCTGGTGCACTGAAAGTGTAACTTGATCGCCTGCACGATCAAAAATGTACCACGCGTATGGCGACCTCATGAAAAGTGCGTTGCTGATCTATTATTCTGGGAAGGAGAGCTGTGTTGTGATGTAATTAAATGCGTTCGGATATCGGTGTAATAACGCAGTGCCAACCTTTGCAGATGGATAAACAGGGATGACTGATAACTGCTGGAATTCTGGTGGTGGTGAGTATTGCATCCATTTCATTAAGGTTCATTTAAAGAGGGCAAGTACTGCTACGAAAGAAGTTGTTACGCTACAGGAATTATGTGGTTATATTGAAAATAAGTCAAGTTTAAATTAAATAATCAATAACGCTGTTGTTCACTCACCAGAAGTGTAATCATTTGCTATGATAAAGTTAACAGAGTTTTTTTATGCATCTGAATAATTACACAAGCATATGAGAAAGCTTGTGAATGCACCTGAAATAGTTTGTCGAGTGGTTGTAATATTGGTAATAATATTTATAGGAAGATATTTGTCTTATAGCGTACTCTTCCAAGCAAAAGCATTTCCAACTTTAGATGACACCTCCAAATTTAATGCCATTATAGATCAATATGATCCAAGAAAATATCTAGACAAGTTACTGAAATCTTTTAAGAATGAATATCACTGAAAATTTCGCATATGCCATTATGTCAAATGTGTGTTTCAAACAACTTTGTAGTATCTTATTTGACAAAATTATCTCCAGCGAACGCGGACGTGTTTTTCAATTAATATCACTCATATATTTATTGCCGCCATACAAAAAAGAATGTATACTATTTGCAATGAGAAAGGTCTCCCACCGTCTCTCGAACGGCGTTCGCTTACCTCAATATGAATTTTATCGTGGAAAGTTATTTCACAAATTCATCTAATGTAGGACGTAGCCAGGAATCTTAAATCCTAAGCAATATTATTTACGGAAATCATTGTTACTTCCAAACACGTTTGCTATCCCTGATGAAGTATTAATATCGGTCATTTAATTTTTAATAATGACGAATGACTCCTCCTCTAAGGCTATTACATACCCTGGCACTTATTCGCCTTGCTTCACGGCTAGACAAGATGGCTCGACTTTCTCACATTTATATTCACGCAAATGTGAACTTCCACGGAACAGCCTCGTACATATATCTATTCAATAACATCCTGTCACGTTTTTCCACGATAAGGTAGACGTGCCTTCTTGCTTTCTTATTTCCTTTCTATTTCCACTCAAAACTTATCGAGTCAGTTGTCATCACGTTGTTTTCCAATAGTACTGGGTGTTCAATTAAAACAAGTTACCGGTTACATATTTACACAGGAAATATCTCAAAATCACTGTGGATCATTGTGACCTCGATTTTATGCTAAATATCGTACATCCTCAGTAATAATGTGTAACGATCTACAAAGAATTCCTATCGTCCGTTATTCGATATCATTTTAAAATCAAAAACGTAAGTGATCTTTATCCTTTGCTCGAGCGATTATATTCGCGAATCATCGTTTTCTCAAAAAATTATCCCGAGTCGTTTTCCCAAAAGTTCAAATTCCCTAATGAGTCAGAGGCGTACACGAATTTGTCCGTATACAGGAAGCTAATTTTTCAGAAAAATGAATGGTTAAAATAGCATTGCGAACATTGTAGGGAGAAACGAAGTCTCGGAATTATAATAACGCTCCAAGTTCATAGTGAACCGTGTAGTAACAACGTGCTCCTGAAAAACAGGAAGAAAAGCAACTGACAAACGTAAACGCTTTAACCGTAAATCATGACGACGAACTGTATCCGATAGAAGAGCGGCGTTCTTAAATTTCTCTTTTTTTTTTAAACTTCTGCATCATTACACAATTGTCAGCTTTCGTTTACTTTCAAGCAATCTGGAAACACACGACCATGGTCCAGTCACTGAAAATATCCCATAATTCGTCTTAACGAATCGTATCGCCGCGAAATGACTTGTAGAGGCAAAGAAGACGAATGAGACTAGGGATAAAAAAATGTCGCCTCCTTGTAAGCCTGATAAATATTTAACGACGTCTCTTTGCTTCTCGAGTACTCGCCAATGGTAGCCAACTTCACGCGCTAATTGAAAGCAGCGATCATGCAAGTCGATGACTGCGTGCAGCGATTTCATTTTTCCGTGTATCCACTGAGAGGTTGCTCGGCTGGTAAAGAAATTTTTGACACTAGATCGACTCCGTCCAATTCCCCAGGCATAGTATATAGGTATATACGACGGTACCGTCTTGCGTCGGCTGCTAGCCGTCACTTTCACTAGGTTCGAATTCTATGATTAACTAATATCCACCCACAAATGAATACTCGATGTATACTCCGCTTGGGTTAAATTGGCCGTAGACGCTAAAGATATTAAAGAGATAAATCTTAAGATATTAAAGAGATAAATCTCTCGCTCGAAGTCAGTCGACGGTGTATGTCAGTGACAGCCGGCATCGTTCGTGCGTCATCGGCAACGATCGTGTCGATACGGTATTTACCGACGGGGATCTGGATTTCTTAAATATCGTTAAAAATATTATTACCTCACTTTTCGATCCGTTCTCCCTTTGTCCTTTTACCTCGTAGACGCACGCGCATACATTTTTCAAGCGATTAGATAGGATATGGAAAAATTTATCAAAGTCGCGTGACACTGACAATGAGACGTTGCGTTAAGTAAATGGCGCTCTCTGTCCTGAAAATAACCTCGCTCATCAGTGATGACCAACGGGATTCGAGAGCAGTTCATATGATGTAAAAGTAAATATGGAAATTCAGACTCGTCCATTTTCTATTTTTATATCGCTTCTTACTCGAAAATTTATCGGTTTTATTTCACTGGGCCGTTCGTAATTCGTTGTTTTTTCGTAATCGTCCATTTTTTTCCGAACAATCAAATTCTTCGGATTAAAATTTCTTTTAATACCAGAGATGATAACGCACAAAGCCAATATACATTGGGCTTACAACAGTGTTGTAAGATTGCCATGCGTCAATTCTCGCCTCTGGCTTATCAGTCCAGTCATTAGATAAGTCATTTAACCGCTGGTACAGTATTAGAAAAAAGTTATCCCCGATGATCGTTGAACGACTTCGATCCGATCGTTGCAATATAATTAGACTTGCAGAAGCGTTAACGTTTTCTTATCGGTAGGTGAAAATCTTATCTACGCAATAACTGTGTCTACTCGATGAATTCAATGGCGCTCGATTTGTCTCCCATTATTAAAAGGAGCCTGAACGGGGGACGCGTGGATCGATCTGTGCAAGTAGGAGGAAACTAATGAATGTATATCTATATACACGCGAATGTACGTCGTGCACAGAGAACAACCATGACTCGAGCTCTCGGAAATTCTCCAAGCGCAACGGCAGAGGAGAAGAGTGAATCGGAAGTTGGCACGTACAATCAAAATGGCGTCCCTGTGGCGACCTCAGGGGTTACCGTGAAAAAATGGATTTCGCGGGGACTCACGTGGGGCACGTCTAACCACCGGGGTACCATATTCCTACGTTCACGCCGTGTAAGCAGTTGCCGATAGACGAGGAAACTAAAGAATAAAAATTTATCCTGACGTCTTCAAACTTCAACCGTTTATATTCCCCGTTGATTTGTTTCTGCTCTGAATAGAATTCTTGGTCTAGTCGTAGTTTGTCTATTGTGCCGTATAGGATGTGCTTGTTACGTATCTGTCTCCCTCTCACTCTCTCTACTGAGCGAAAAATGTCCGACGTCTTTAAAAAGGGACACCGTTAAGACTTCTTCGTTACTCTGTATTGTACACACTGTTGCCGTTGATACCTTCGCTACTTAATCCCTCGGTACATTCGCATATTCACTGGCGGTAGCATTTACCTCGTGGGCGCCAGTGTCAGAATACTACTGCCAGCCGGTAATAACGAGCAGCGTTTCACGACTACGTGGAATTAGATGATGAGTCGGGCGAAAATTAATCTAAAAGTGTCGTCGTAGGAACTTTGACAGTTGCCAATGATAATTCGCGTAAATGCGAGACGGTCGGTCGGTCGACGTGAATTTCGTTGAAAATTAATTTCTTTTTAACTCACCAGTTACGCAATTTTACGTTATTGTCTTTCACGAAGGAAGTTAGGTTAGAAATCTTAAGGAGATACGACGCAAAGGCATAACCTCAAACGTGCGATCGGATTAGTTGATAAATTCACGCCGAAGCTTTAAGGGATCCTTCGAGCGCAATGCCCGCTGGGTAATATCCGTGTTACCGGCTTTCTGCACGACTCCGACTATCATATCGACCACGGTACGTGTTAGGTTAGGTTAGTTGTACCACGCGCAGTGAACTGGGCACCGATGCCAAGGATAACCCAAGGATATTTTACGTCTAAATATTCGACCAACAGTCATTCATTTTGTCAGGATGAAGAAGCAGGGTCTCTCGTGCATATGCGTCGGTAAGACAATTGATTTTTTAAAACGATTTTTATTATTTCCTCACGTGTAATACAGTCCATCGGAAAATTTATCAATGTTTTGTCTGAACTCGTACCTGTATCCAACGCACGTAATCATCCCCGACCCACTCACTTACCCAGCTGCAATTCTCTTGCGATTCTTCGTGCCTGTAAAATGCAACCAAGTATCGATTACTACTGGGCTTCACGGTTGCTTCTCAAGGTGGCGACGACAGGTCGCCGCGAATCCTTAGACCTCTGTCGCCAGGACTTCCAGACGTGTCGCGACTCGTTCGCCTAGACTTGCAGTCGCATTACGCATAACCTTCAAGGGCTCTCGGGAATTCTTTAGTACCGGAATGACTGTCCCTGCGAGCGTCAGCAATAACGTGGAGTCTGCTTGTTTAACCTTCGATTAGAAGAATCCAATGACGTGAAGAAATAGGCGTCCCGACACCTTTGCAAGACACAGACCCTACCGGCCGACTCCTTACCGATCCGACCTTCTGGGAAAAGGAACAGCCACGCCCACAGGGATTAGTTGTCGTCTCCTCCGTCGGTATATCGTCTAGTCAATACAAAATAATATATCCGTACATTCTTTTTCTCTCTCTCTCTCCTAGAAGCCCTCTCGAACCTTGCTACGAATTTTCTCTCTGAAATATCCTCCGGGCATGTCGAAGCTAGTGTATCTTGTGTCTCTCAGAAGTATATGTCCGTTATAAAACTACTGCTGGGTATCACGGATACTTCATGATCCACCCTGTGTATGCTTTTGTGTGACTTGACTTGCTCAAGGGTAGTGGCACGTGTCCATAGTCAAGTTCATACGGAAGAACGGCAGAGCTACCCTTGGGTCGAATCACGGAAATCAAATATCCACGCATCCCCCTTGAGGAACTTTCGATGATTTTTATTGACGTTGATACGTATTACGTTGTTACGGGTAAGCAGTGCGGATTAGTAATGGCTACTCCTTTCAACTAGATCGACTCGACCGTACTCTAACGCGCGGCAGACATGCTCGTTGATTTAGTAAACTCAGCAGTGTCAGATGTGTCCTGGCCGGGAAACGAGTTTTGGTACCGTCGTCCGTGTCCACTGATTTCGCGACGTCACGCGTCCCCAACGTGCTGCGACGCGCTGGCTCTGCATTATCGCGTCGAGAGTCTCTCTTTCTCTATTTAACTTTAATTTTACAACTTTCGTCTCTCCTCCGCGTCTCGTAACAGAAATTAAGGAAAGTCAGCGCAGACCCTATCGCGATCGGTCGATCAGGTTCGGTGCGGGTGCACGTGCACGTGGGAGATTCGATGCTGAAAATATTGTAAAATAGTTCGACTGTGAATCCGAGTTAAGGTCTAGG